CCCATGATGGATGGTTCCCCCTTGATCACAGATTTCTTCAAGGTAATGTTACGATCATCGGATGGTTTACATTAAGACAACGCACAATTGTTTTCTTTTTTTCCCCCTACCTAATCTCGCGGACTCCAAGATTCCGTGGGGAAGGGGTGGGGTTTCCGGAAAAGTCCAATAGCATAGGGGTGTTAGGGTATGAAATAAACACCGATTAAAATCACCCCCGACTGACTGACTTTCTACCCCACCAGGACATCACACAAGCGATAAACACCCGATGACACAAAGTGTAACCATGTGGATGAGGATCACCGCGGAGAGGTCCCAGAAACCGCGTTCAGACAATTGGCCATATTTATGGCCTGCCTATATTGCGGCCCCCAGCAAAAGCCAGGGTGGGGCTTCGAATAACAAAAAATTCATCCTAAAAAGGACGAAACACCAATTAACAAATCCGAAGATTTATTTCAATTGATTGTTACCAAAATCACCCCCCCCCTTCCATGCTACCCATAATCTTAACCTTTCCTGAGAACCCCCTTGTTGCAACCATGGAATATTTTAAACTGATAACATTTTATCTTCATAGTGAATTTCAAAATTACACAATGGAATTTTATTTTTAATACACCACAAAAAAGGAAGTCGCCGAAGTCCCTGGAAAGTCCAGTATTCTAGGGATGTTATGGGTTGGGGTTGGGAGTTTGGGTTAGAGTTAGGGTTAGGGTAAATTGGTGTCTCTGTGACGGTCGGGTCTGACAAAGATCCTAACCCCAACCCCATAACACCCCTAAACTGGCGGACTTTCTTGGAAACTCCTGGATTTCCTTTGTTTGAGGTGAATTAAAACTAAAGTACTCGTTCCGTGCGGGTAGGGGTGCTAAATAATGCTTCTATAAATAGTCCTTTAGAAATCGAAGCTGGAAATCGAAAAAAAGTAGCCCAACGGGGCTGCCCGAGAAAAATTTATAGTTAAAAATCTACCCTCAGGATCCCCGCCGGTGCTACAGAGCCTGTGCACTGTGCACAAAATTTAAAAAGGAATTAGATACATAAGTGAGTAACGTTTAACCGCACCAGGACCACACAGTGAGCGACAAACAACCGGTAACACAAAGTGCCACCATTCGGATGAGAGTTACTCGGGCACAAGTCTGAGAAATTCCGTTTAACCATCATATTAAATTACGACTCCGGTGATAGAAAGTGCTACCATTCGGATGAGAATCACCCGGGCATAAGTCCAAGAAATCCCATTTAGCAGTTAGGTTACATTGTGCTGGGGGAGAGAGGTGGCGTGGGGCCCTAGTCTTATACTAAGTTGGGTGGGAGTGGTGGAAAGGGGGTGACCTAAGAGGTGGTTATAAGAGGTTATATTAGGTTCCCTGGTGAAAGCCGGGCTGGGGCTTTACAGTAACAAAAAATGTCGTGCCATATTGGTAAGCAGTTATCAGATATATAAGTAATTAGAAACAATTTAAATATGTGCAAGTCAAGGTAAAAAAAAACTTTTTCTTCGCCTTTAGACGCACTGGGCATATAGGGCTAGACCTATGTTTTGTAGACCAATAGGCACTTTAGTGAATGATGTGGTCAGCATAACGCGGCCGCCTTTACTTCCCAGGCCTGCACCGGGTAGCCATACAAGGCTGTGTCGATCTGAGAGCCAGGTCATTTTTGAAAAAAATTACCCCGGTTTCGTCAAGTTTAGAATACACGACCCTCCCATCCGCAGGCGAGAGTCTAGCCGCTACACTAGGGCAACTTAAATATGTGTATTTCGATTAATCAGTAGGAGATACAAAGGTACTGACCCTTCAGCAACGTCCGAGGTGAATGTATTCAAATGGCTGTACTTCCAGGTGGCGTGCGTGTCTCCATCCGGACGGCAGTACCAAAACATTCACGTTGGTGTCGCTTACAACCAGACCCTTCATCTGCGATCTCGAAAGAGGCACCTGCCAGTAAACGCTTTAGCTTATGATATTCTCATGCTTGGTAAGTTAATCACACGACTTCAGTGTATTTAGGGTGACCATCTATAACATCTTGAGCTGAAAACGGAACATCTCACTAATATTTGTCTAGGTCACCGGTGGGAAAGGGTAATTACTTGCTCGACAGTGGTATTAAAGCTCGAAACCATTTTCGCCAAAAAATAAACGAAACAATACGATCTCTAACTGCACAGAAAATCATGATACACTGACCATTCCTATCAACACATTTCGGACATTAAAAGTAGCTAAAACTAAATGTATTACATGTAAAATCATCATAACCTTCAACTTTCACCTTTCACCTTTGTCATGGGATCCACAATACAGAAAGCACACTAACGGTTCTCTAGGTTTATACAACGGATCAACATCATGGCACAAGGGTAGTAACCCATAAGCGTTCCGTTCTACTTCTAACTCAAGCCTGAGTTGAAGACTATCAGCGCAGTGCGCGAACTCTGTAGCACCGGCGAGGATCCGGAAATAATTGAGGTACATTTTTAACTCCAAATTTTGGCCGGACAATGCCGTTAGACTACTTTTTTCGATTTCCAACAGTCAAGGGATTTTTTTTTTTACGTTTTACAGTACACTGATAACATTTTATCTTCATAGTGAATTTCAAAATTACACAATGGAATTTTATTTTTATTACACCACAAAAAAGCTCTGCATTAGTGATTCTATCATACTATTTAATTCCCTCCAATCTACCCAGAGACTAGGAAAAATTACTAGAAATCCAGGTGAAAAAATCCCATCCTTCACCGGGCCTGAACCCAGGACCTCCAGCACTCGAGGCGGACACCATCTCCCAAAGGGATTTTTTTATTGGGGGGGGGGGGGAGGAGGGGAGAGTGCCACGCTCAACCAGCTCCTTTTGAAAAAGGAGCTGTTGGTTATAATAATGGCTGTGTTTCTTGCGCCAAATGTATTTGTTAAAACTGTGTTTTTGTGCCCTGTTCAGCAGTTATTTTGATATTCCACTGTAGTATCTGGTCTCTATTATTATCTGTCCATGCCCGGCTCTCTAGAGTAGTTGGCTAACCGGATTGCGCGGTGACCTTGTGATCCGGGTTCACTCCCGGGGGTAGGCAGAAAAGCCAAATTTCTCTCAAATTTGGGGTATTTACAATGGAACCAAGGCCGAAAGGTTGCGATATCCATAACACCGAGCCTAAGGGTTAACAACTCATGGCTTCTGGATACTAAAACAAACAAACATTATCTGTCCATATGGCAGACCATCTGCCACTCCCGCACAGTTTATGCTTCGTCTCGCCACCGCAAGCTACAAGAGGAACAAGAAGGCTTGGGATGAGTTACATCTTTATAAGTAAGCTGTGAATCTTGTACAGGACGTAGCAGAACCTGCCCCAGCATTTTGTTTTTTTTTGTGTGGGTTGCTGTGGTTATTGTAGGAAAAATTACGTCCAGTAGTTTGCCATTACTTCTGGACGGTCAGCTTCTCGATACCACTGTCGAAACGAAAGCAAGGCCCGCAGCTGAGATCGAACCCGGTATCCTGGCATTACGAAGCACGTTCGTAACGCCTAAGCTACAGATGCCAATACGTGTATATAGCTTAGTTGTTAGTCAGTCAACAAGTCAGAAATCACAGCAGTAGGGCTGTTTCGTAAATGCTCCGTTCACGTGCATGTGGAAATCACACAAAATGTTCGTTACTGTCCCATTTGAAAATGTGCCAGTCCGAACAAAATCTTGAAGCTTACACACGCAAAGTGTATAGAAAAATATCATCTAATTCTTCTGCCTTATAACCCCACTGGAGCATAGGCCCTCAACCAACTCAAGCCAAGTCGTTCTTTCCTTCGCTATCGCATGCAGCACTCCCCATATTGTCCACATCTTTTTAACTTGACTCTCTAGCTTCTCCATGTGTTAATGTGTATGGTTATTTGTGTGTGTGTGTGTCTTTCTTTATTTATATGCCTCTGTGGGTTTCAGTGCAAAGACATGCGCGTTATATTGTTCGCTGGTTTTTCTCAATGCGTGTCCTGTACAACGCCTGTGTCTTTTCTTCACCCCTTGGTCCCTAGAAATTGTTATTTCTCTCCCAAAGCTCAGCATTAGTGATTCTATCATGCTATTTAATTCCCTCTAATCTAAGCAAGAACTTATGAATTAATAAATGTTTGTAGTTTATTAGTATTTGTCTTAGCTGTTCTCCGTGTTTTACATGCAACAGTGCTAATTTGACATTACAAGTACAAATTTATATTTAATAATTAATTTTAAATAATATCATGCATTTTTTATATGGGAGTCCATAGGAATCTCCACATAGAAAACACACAAACAAGCATCCTAGCACATTTTATACTTCAAGTTGCCATGTGGATTAAGCGTCGTGAATGTGCTTAGTAATTCCGAAATATCCAACACTTGATTTCAGTCGCAGGCGATTTGGCAGCAGGTCTCTTTGCGTTAATTTAGATAATGGTGAGTACCGACCGGCGATGTGCGAGCTTGCGAATTGTTTATATCATTAGAGCTGTTCCCTTAACATCAGACACCCTGAGATATAAATCTGGATGGCAGACCAAAATGACCTGAAGGTTTGACAACGTAAGACAAAAGATTATCAGTGCAGATGGCCGACCACCAGAGCAAGCCCAGATGCCCCATTCAACGTCAAAGGAAGATATATTTAGGACATCCGTAACAGCCACATCAGCTCTTGTAACTTGTCATAATGCGCGGGTAAGGATTGATAACAGTGACAGTCCTAAACGTTAAACTGCCGAGTAAAACTACAAACCGGCAAATATGTTGAGGGTTGGTTCTGCAACGTCCTGGATAGGATACACAATTAAATTTTTTTTTTCTTATGAATTGTATTACGTATTATTCCCAATGTCGTCTTCTGCCTCATTTCTGTGAATATGTATTTCTTTAATATAATAATCATTCTAGGATACGGAAACAGCAATAATGCCTGTAATAATGTCTTTTCCTTAATCAGGATTCGATTCGACATCTAGAATGGCGTGGTTGAGAAATCTGCCCAGGACTAGAGAGTTCTTTCTCCAAGTGTTGGGAGGTCTAGAACTTGAAGGCTATAACATTGTAGGCGATGGAACAGTTCAGGTTTGTTCAAATGTTTTTCTTCCTTTTATAACCTCTCTAGGAATTAACTGAAATAGCATCAGACACTGAATCAAAGAGACAGTTTTATGATGAGAATACAACAAGTGCACAGTTTTAGAAACTCTGTTCGACTGTACAAGGGTTATATCAGGGCACGCGATGGTTACAAAGTAATCGGCTGTCCACCATCGGGTGGCAGTAAGCCTAATTCCTCTGTCAAAATGTGGTACTTCTTTTTCTTCTTATTTTGTCGTCTCACTGATACCAGGTTGTAGCACAGTGTAAAGCTTTTCTATATTTGTCGTGCACTTCTAGTGTGGCTTTTGAGATGGATTTGTTCATCTTTTGCAGGTTTTAGCTACACCATTTATCCACCTCTTTCCCCTCAGATATAGACCATCTCGTATTATACGAGACCCATCCAAACTGAACTAAAGCTTACCTTGTAACCTTTTTGTGATGCCTGGATATAACTGTGGCAGCCGCCGTCGCATGGCCACTAGACGGAGCAGGACTTGGTTTCTTCTTCTTTGCGTTCGGTTTCGTATGCTCAGATCAGACCACCGGGAGGGTTGCCTCTATGAACTCGGATGTCAGTAGTAGGCCCTTCATGGTTCCCCATAGCTTGCTCTGCAAACTTTGCTCTTGAGGCCTGGTGTCTTTTCAAAGTTGTATGTAGAGTGGGCAGGTCTGCAGAATGTGCTCCGGTGTTTGTGGTCCTGTTTGACAGGCACACTGTGGGGACTGTACAGTCTTTATTTTGTGCATGAAGCAGTTGAGCCTACAGTGATGGGCGTGTTGTTTCTCCTGTGTCAATTTTTTGGAGGTCTGTCTGCTTAAATAAACAGACGGGGAACCTTTGAGGCCGTTAAATAGTATGAATTAATTAAGTAACAGTAAGTGTATTGATCGGCACTCATTTCTTTGTATGCCGCAGTGAGCCGGGATCCACTGGAGAACTTCAGTCCAAAAGTGGACGAACAACCAGAACTTTCCACCAGAGTTTGCAGATGGTGAATGCGAAGAAGACTTCCATCCAACATTTGTGAAAACAAAAAGATGTAGTCATGAACATTCGCTTTCCCTGGTAAAAATAGACGGTTACTTTTAGGCATGGTTGATTTTGCATTTCATTTATACAGATTAACTTATTTGTCCTGGGAAGTAAAGGCGACCGGCGTGATGCTGACCACATCACCCATCAAGTGCCGATTGATCTATACAAATATAGGTCTAGCCCTATTTTCCCAATACGCACAAAGGCGTGGAAAGGGGATCTTTACTTTACCTATGAATAATGCAGTCTTCTTTGTTTATATTTATGTTTTCATTCACTAACGTCTAAAACGTTTGGTTGGTTACCAGGCTCTGTTGCCAATACTTACTGGACACGCAGAGTCTGATCTACATTCGGCAAGGAAAGATGAGAATGGGGCTACACAAGTGGATGATTTCCCCTGGATATGGGACAGGTTCAAGGAAGCGGGTTACGTCACAGCATGGGCTGAAGATATGGCATACATTGGCACATTTCAGGTACAGTAAAACTTCAATTAACCGTCACTCGTTTTAACATCCATTTCTGTTATCCGCCATCGTTTCCCATAAGCAAAAACAATGTTATCAAAGTGCACAGACTGGTCTGAAATGCAAGACGAGACAAATGCAACACGGATCCTTCTTCTGCGTAAGATTCAGAACATCCATCCCAAGCCTGCAGTGACATCACCTTACTGTATACACAAAAGTAAAAGACCCTTTTCCACGCCTTTCAGGCGTATTGAGTATACAGGTCTAGACCTATATTTTACAGACTAAGCAAAACTTAGTGGGTGATGTGGTCAGCGTCACACTGACCGTCTTTACTTCCCAGAACTGCACCTGGTACCCACTCAAGACTGGGTCGACCTGGGAGCCAATGTAATTTAAAAAAAAAGCCTGGCCCCCGTCAGGAACCGAACCCACGACATTCCCCTCCACAGTCGAACGTCTAGCCGCTAGGCCACACATGTATAAATGCATGTACACATGTATAAAGAAAATTGACGACAACGACAGACAACAGGCCGACAGACGGACGCCAGTCGGACACAGCTCTCTCTCGCTCGCTCGATTTACCGCCCGATCAGCCACGTGTCTCTCGTCAGCTAGCTAACTATCCATTCGCAGCCAGATTATCAATAGCTAGATACTGGTCAGAACTCGCTTGACATTCGGCTGAGTTTTGGCTCGACTAGACTATTGTTATTCGTCTGCGGGTGGGTTATTAGCGGCCCGGGAACACAGCATTGTTGAAGAGCCAGCCATACCCGCCAGTTTTTTGAAGGATTGCTAGAGAACTAAGGAGAAAGCACGCTTGGGTGTCCTTTTTAGGATACTCTAACAAGCCTTGCCGACTCCGAAGGGACCTAGCAATCAAACAGCAGCCCGACCAGAACAGCCTTTGCCAGCCACATCCACTATGGCCCGTGGCAAGAAGAACCCGATCCAGCGCCGTGACACCAGAGTTACATCGGCTAATAAGGAGTCTTCACCTGACGTCGCACCAGCCCCTACGGTGCAGACAATGCCAGCTTTGACTGACGTCCCTATCGAGACGTCAGCCACACCTAACCAGACGCCGCCAGCTTCCGATGAGGCCCCTGTCGAGGCATCATCACAGCCAGAAGTCGCCCCTGTCGTGGCGCAGGAGCCCACCTACACCCGCCCACACAGGCAACTGCAGCAGCGACCGGGAGCCACCAGTCCAGAGATACTCCAGTGCTCACGCTGCAATAAGGCGTGGCACACAGCCGCAGCCTGCCGCAGCAGCCTAGCCTGCAGGTACTGCTCCCAAGCACATGAATTCAAGGAGTGTCCCTTGGCCAAGAGGGACACTGACTTCAAAAAACCCAACCCGAGCAGACGATGTTCGAACTGCAGAGGAGCACACAGCGCGAGGTACCTGGGATGTCCGTACCTCAAGCAGATAAAGAGGGAGATGACTAATGCCGGACCCAGACACCAACAGAGGTACGAGGCACCCAGGCCAAGCAACACAGCAAGCCATTCCACCCGCCCAGAGAGGAAAGAGGCCACCACCAGAGACCCTGAGCTGGTGCGCGCCCTCACCGAGCTGAAAGCTGAACTACGGAAAGAGAGAGAAGCCGCCGCCGCTGAGAAAGCAGAAACCCACGAGCTGATCACCCTTATGCTGAGGGAAATCAAAGTTCTAAAGGAGGTCAGCTCAGGTCAAGAAGCCCAACAAATACAGAACAACAAACGTGATGCAGAGATCAGAGACAGCATCCACGCACTCACCGAAAGCCTAAAAATAGCCCAGGTAGAAGCAGAAAAATACAGACAGGAAGAAAGGCAAGAAAGAAAAAAGGAGATGGCGGAACTCAAAGAAGCTAGAGAAAGCACATACCTGGAAGTCGCGAGATTGACCCAGCAGAAGTCCGAGAATGAGGCGGCGGTGCTAGAGCTCAAGAAACTGATGGCCTTGCAGGACGAAAAAACAGCTGCACATAACCAACTCATCACCATCCAAGACGAAATTAAAGAAGCACGCGAAATCATCCAGGAACTCCACCAAGTACAGGAAAAACTCTCATATGAAACAGAGAAGATCGATAAAATAGTGGCCTCAGCACACCAAAATCCCGAATACGAAGTTGAATCTGAAGAAGAAGCAGACCCAACAGAGTCCGACGAGGAGAACGTAGAAGTACAGCCCGCCGAATTAGAACAAACCTCAGACCTGAGCAGCGACACGGAAGCGACCCCAGACACAGATGAGGCCACAGCCCACACAGAAGCAAGAGAAATAGTAATCCCCAATGACATCAGCGAAGCCGGACTAAGTGAAATGGTGAAAGAATTCAACATACAAGAAGATCTCCCGCACAAGATAAAATTCATGTAAGGCGCATACTTTATTATCTATGACGACGACTTATGGTCCAGCGGCAATCTCGAATTCGACGAAGTCAGCAAAGCCTACATGTCAAAACTGTCCAAGTTCTACAAGCAGGTGGAAGATGCCCACGAACGAATAAAAGAAACAAAAAGGAGACAATGGATGCATAGAACACCGAACAGGCGCCGAAAGTATTAAGCCAGAATAACCGATCAAACCCAACCCAGCAGACGTGCCAGACCGAATCGAGAAACCACAAAATCACCAGCCAACCAGAACTGACCAAGCCGCCATGACACCCCAAACCACGCCCACCGCTCCGGAAAGCCCACTTGCCAAAAACCAGCCAGGCATGATCGATCGACAGCGACGGTCTTCAGCCAGATAATCTGCCGCACCCGGAACTCACTAATTGTCCTTCTCAGGACTTTTAGCTCTCCACCACCAAAGCAGCCTACTTCGCACCAAGACAAGCAAGAAAATCGGTAACCAAGGCACACTCAAGCGCCTTCAAGAAACAAAACGACCTAGAGTCAGCACATAAACAAGGACTCGATATAGTCACGGCTCAACCAGGAGCAGACTGAAAGAGTCAAGGAGTTTTGCAATTTTTGTTTTCAACTAATCAATCAATCAATAAAGAAAATTATCCGGTGAACAGTAACCTAAACGTAAAGGGGAAGCAGAACAACATGCTCAAAAAACACAAATCGACGTTCGGCCGGGGCCTTTCTCAACATGAACCGGACAGTGATTTGAAGTTTTACTGTACTTAGAATACAGCCTGGAACAGCCAGAATCCCGTAATTATTATTATTCTTATATTTCTGATGTGGGCAATCAGTTCTTTTCGTGAGTCAGTTTCTTTTGACATCTTCATTACTCTTTTTATTTATTACTCCTTTTATTATTATTTTTTTTTTTGCAGAACGTCGTTCTCATCACGGTCTGACTGAAAGAAACTCGGTCTCTCGCCAGCTCTCCCGCCTCATGTACTTTCATACTCAAGGAGTCACTTATATCATGTGCGTATCTTCGTGTTGGTCGGCCCCTCCTTCCTGGTACCATGCCTTCCGCTGTCATTTTTTCCAAGCCGTCGTGGCACTTGATATGACCAAAATATTTCAGCTTTCTCTGTCCAGGTATTCTCATCATTTGTCTCTAATTTCGTTATAACAATTTAAGTTGTCCCTTTGCTAATCACAGATGCGCCTGAAAGGTTTTCTACACCAGCCAACGGATCACTCCATGAGACCATACTTCCTGATGGCGGAGCCCATGTACAGACACTTTCTACCATGGTGTGCTGGGTCAGAGGTCAGACACATGCGTTTCTTGAACTGGTTCCGAGAGTTGTACCACATGTACGGAAACAAGCCAAAGTTTATGTTTGGGTTTCACTCTGAATACAGTCATAACAGCATCAACAATCTCAAGAAGGTCTCGTCTGCTAAATATAAACTAATTCTTGACTGTTTGATTATGAGATGTGCTTGCTAGTAGATTACTGGGATTTCACTGACATGTTGCAAGGCTGTACATTACATTTGAATAGCACGCGCTTTCTCTATCTGACATAATAAAAACAGTATTTATCTTTGAGAACCGACCCACACCCCCCCCCCGCCCCCCTTTTCCCCTTTCATGTCAATTTCTGGAGGTCCTAACCCCAACAACCCTACCCTCCAGCCTACGTCCCACGAGAGTGCAGACTACGTCCCATGACCGCATGTAGGCTGCGTGCAGTTGTAGGGTGTAGGCTGAGGGACTGGTGCGTTCTAGATGTTATTGGACCGTTAAAAGCGCTCACATCGTGGAATACAGAACACGCGATGTCGCCGGCCGCTGACAACGAGTAAAATACGATGTACTGCTGGTCGCTCACTAAGCGTGACAACCCCACAATATAAGACAGACCCTGCGACACGACGGGGCATGAATGGGAAGGGAAGTCACTCTCAGTAAACGTTACTATAACCTTTTTCTAACTTCCTCACAATTATAGACTATATTTGATTAAAGTCGACACATCCAAATGTAAACAATGTTTGCTAAGAAGAATTGTGTAAAGAAGGGGCAAATAAACATGCATATGACTTGAAAAAAAAAATGACACTTACGTTTTAAATCATCATCATGTGCCCTGCCAACTGGCGTGGGCGCTCACGCATCTCCACTGATCGCGATCCCTGGCTGACTGGAACAGCTCTCTTGATGATATCCCCCATGTCATCGTTTTAGCCCATCCAGCATCATCTCTCTTGGTCTTTCTCTGCCCATTTTCCACTGATCTTTCCAGTTGTCACGATGTCTCTCTTCTCATTGTGTGGCCAAAGAACAGTGTTTGTCTCTTTCTTATTGTTGTATATAGAGATCTACATTCATTAGCCTCTTTCAAACAATCGTTGTTAGTTAATCTGACCGTCCAAGGTATTCGTAACATTTGGTCTCAGAAAGTACATCTGTGTTGCCTCCAATTCTTTTTAATTTGTTCAGTGACACATTCCAAGATTCGCTGCCATAGAGCAGAACAGGTTCTATGCAACATTTTAGCACCCTCTTTCGACATTAAATGCGAGCGATTTATTGCATAAGATATTTTTTCTTTTCTGAATTGCAGCTTTTGCTTGACCTATTCTGCTTTTAATCTCTGTCACACATTTTCCATTTGATGACGTTTTAAATTACTTGTTGAATTGTGTTTGATAGTTTTCTGTTTCTGGGCATAACGTAATGTTTGATGGTTATCTATTTCAGATTGACACGGATCTAAACAACCTACTGAAATACTTACACTCTAGTGGCTACCTGAACCACACCATACTCGTTCTAATGGGAGATCACGGAAGTCGCTTCTCTAACCTACGGGCAACACCTCAAGGAAAGCTGGAAGAAAGAATGCCTTATTTTGCTTTCAGCTTTCCTCCATCGTTAGTCAAATCACATCCTAAAGCCATAACAAACTTTAAAATAAACACCCACAGACTGACTACCCCATTTGATGTTCATAAAACATTCCTAGATGTGCTCAACTTTAAAAATACACAAGACTATACTAATAAAAGGGGTATCAGCTTGTTCAAAGAAGTCCACAGGAACAGATCTTGTGAAGACGCAAATATCGAGCGCCACTGGTGTGCCTGTCTTCAGTGGACTAAAGTAAAGAATCCAGGTTTAGCTAAGGTTGTAGCTGAGGCTGTGATGCAGTTTCTCAATGAGAAAACAGCAAAAGTACGTAACCTGTGTGCCATGCTCACTGTGGTAAAGATTATTAGCATGTCACAGGTTTCACCCAATGTAGAGGTTCTACAGTACAAAAAGAGCCTTGACCACCATGGAGACTTCCCTGATATGACCGACAACATGACCTTAAATTATAATTACTACCAGATCGCTCTGGTCACAGAACCAGGGTCAGGTCATTTTGAGGTCACAGTCAAATATTCAACAGTCACCAAGGAATTCTTTATTAGTGATACAGAGATGAGCCGCACAAATCGTTACCACAATGCATCACTGTGTATCCAACACAAGTATCCACATTTACGGGCATACTGTTTTTGTGTCTAGTTGTGAAATATAATTTATAAGTGTAAGAACTGAAGGTTCACGGTGGAGAGATAATGTCCAGACAGACCTGCAAACAATAGATGTCACTAACTGGAAAGAGAAGGCCAAGGTGAGTGGAGGGGGGTGATATCTGCAGCAATGAACCTCAAAGGCTTGGAATGCCGAAGAAGAAGAAAAAGGACTGAAGGGTTTAAAAATGTGGTCTTTAATGTCACCCTGTATACATTTTTAGGGCAGTGTAGGATAGGAAGGGTTGTGAGCTTGAGGATTTCGAGCCACGTGGCTGGTGCGGATGCTACAGACTGTGTAGGTTAGGATTTGACCCCCCCTCCCCCCACCAACAGCATTTCCTTAAATATAAGATGTATAAAAAAAAATATAAGGTCTCATGAAGCTAATGAAAAAGATTAATATATACAGCCATAAAGAAAAGACAAGCACTGTTCCTTGGTCATGTGATGAGAGGGGAGGCTTTGGAGAATACTGTGACGACTGGAAGATCAACTATAGAAGAAGGAGAGGCAGACTGAGAGAGATAATTATGGATGGATTACAATGGTGGTACAGAGGGATATCACTGGTGGAACTGATCCAGAGGACAAAGGACCGAGTTCTGTGGAGATGCATGAATGCCTACGCCAATCAGCAGGGCATGTGACGATGATAGGGTCTAAAAAAAGTGTGCATCTTATACAATAGAAGTAAATTTTTACCAACAAATTTGTTTAGCCTTATAAGGGAATGCCCGTTAAGCCAAAAGCAAGGTGCATCTTATAAATGGGACCATTTTATGATTGAGGAAATACGATAGCACCCCCGAATGAGAGACCAGCATTCTCAATGCTTCTCTCAGAAGTGCAGTGTCAGCTTGAACTTCAAAGTGCTACTTTTAAATTAAGTTGAGGATAATATTTTCAAGCCTTTCCTTTACAAATGATGGTATAAATTACTGGACCAACTTCTGGAATAATGTCCAGAGCCATGTTATAGTTAAAAAGATTTTTTTTTAAAGGCAAACAGATCGTCCTGTATATGAAATCAGAGATCCTCCATGTGGGTTCAGACACAATTTCAAACTGTCCAGCATCTTCTTTCTCAGTCACCCTCTGCCTCTTTTCTTCTCCAACTTTCCCACCGTCACATCATCTTCCAGTTTTCTCCTTCTCTTAACATAACCTTCTGATGTGGGCAATCAGTTTTCTTTGTCAGTCAGTTTCCTTCTAGACATTTCATAACTTTTTGTTTTTCCAATCTAGGATTTATCAATCTACTTATTAAACTAGAATAAAACGTAAATATTTTAACTGTCTGTCTTTGTGCTTTTAGACAATGCAGATGGAAGGGAGAGGGTTGGGTTACTTGAGTCTTAGAATTTAAGACTATATGGCATGCAAAGCTGCCAAGAACAGTGCATGTAGGATTTTTGCTCCTGACACACAGAATGTCTACAAACTTACTGAAGATCCGCACGAGAGCATAAATATTCAACAGCTGCTCAAAATTTAAAAAAGGAAACAACAACAACAGTAAAAAACACTAATAAACATTTACTCACTAAGCACAAGAGATTTATTACTTAAATTGAAGAAAAAAAAAGGAAAAACTGGCATTACATAATAACCTAGCATATTTGTTTACACCGTTACTGACAGGGAATCATCTAAACAAATCATTCATTCATCAATTTATTACGACAATCTAAAGAAGGTCACAGGACTAAAGGCTGGACATACACCAAGTGGATTTAGTGGCAGGGCTCATCTGGAATTGCTTCAAGACCCTGTCAAAAAAACAAATAAAGACACAGTTGGCATTACATGTTTCACCTCAGAGCAACAATAAAAAAACATACAAAGTCAAATTAATGAGACAAACTAATTTTGGACACATATGACTTGCACAAAATGGAACAATGGAGGAAAAAACACATCCACTCATTGTCATTACCAGAAATCAAAACACTTATCAAGGGAAAATACAAGGAATTGTGGAGAGAACAAACCAACAGTAAACATCCACAAGACCTCATCAGCAAACTCAACAGAAAGCAACATACAACAATGTTCTGCAGGCCTGCCACTTTACCTACAACTACAAAAATAAACCTGGCCTCTTGAGAGCAAAGTGTTCAGAGCAAGCTCTGGGAAACCATAATAGACCTGCAGCTGACAAGCGAGTTCATAGAGGCTGCCCACCCAATGGTCTCACCTGAGCATACGAAAAACAATCAAAAAGAAGAAGAATTTAAAGGTTTCAACTGTTTCCAGAGAGTAACGGTACCAATAGCCATGGATAGGAATTAAATGGTCACAGATGGAGAGAACATAAACTGTCCAGCTTGTGACAATAACTAGCCAGATTTCAAAAGTGTACTCATGCCGAACATCAGATGACATCATAGGTTGTTTGGTACTCATGGATAACTTGATCACATATGGTATACTGCTTGAGACTGAAAGAGCAGTGGCAAGCAAAACACAGAAGCACTAACCTACCATGCATGTCATTAGAGATGGCTAAGGAGGACTGACCTGAGGCTGGCTACCCTGTTCCACAGACACGCAAAATCCAACACATTAATAACAAGCAAAAACTGGGGGTCTCTGTGGCAAAGTGTCACCAATTTGCAATTTTTTTGCCTAGCACTCTTTTGTCCCAATTTTTGTGTTTCATCTTTAATGTATGAAAATGTAATCTGTAAATTTAGTATTTTTGCAGCTGTATTTCAGACTGATCCTTCTGTTTGAAATTTGGAAGCCCGACAAACATGGCTTCTATTCCACAAGAGTTCCTGATTGAAGTAGCTGATCCAATTTCTGGGCGGCTCGAGCAGCTGCAGATGAAATTTACTGCCCATTTCGAATTTTACATAGAATCTCATGCTAAATGCTTATCTCTTGTATACACTTCTTGTAAACAAAATTACAGTTAATAAATAAAGTATAAGCATTTTAAAACAGGCAGTTACTTTTCAATCACCCTGTAGATCAGTGGTTCTCAACCTTCCTAATGCGGCGACCCTTTAATACAGTTCCTCATGTTGTGCTGACCCTAGCCAGATAATTATTTTCGTTGCTTACCCTGCGAAAGGGTTGTGACCCACAGGTTGAGAACCACTGCTGTAGACCATCATGGTTTGGAAAGATCGATACAAAGAGGAGCAGCAGAGGAATCAGATGACATTTCACACTCAGGGGGGAAAGCAAGACAAACATAAATAGACTGCAACTGATGCCAAAAGAACAGGAACTTTACACTGGCTGCTAAAGATGGGGGTGGGAGGGGGGTGGTGGTGGAGGGGAAGAGGGGGGGGGGGGGGTGCGTGCAGCACTTACGAGATATGATGTCAGTTCTTAACTCAGCTCATTAGCAAGAAACAAACTGGAAGAAGCCTAAATAAGCTGATCTTCGATGAAGAGTTGTCATCTGAGGGTGATAAACAAGAAAACCTCACCTGGGGTATGTAGCGACTGCCTGTGATTCTTTCATCTCTGATGTACACTACTTTGTCACTGTTAAAGAACTCTGGTGCATATGGGTTCCTGGCAACGTTCTGGAAGTTACAGAGAGAGGTAAAGTAATGCAGATAGTGAACAGGTAATTTACAATCTGGCAAGAAAGCATGCGTGAAGACATGCCACTTTTCTTGGCAAAATAACACAATATGCTGCAATTAAGAAATTGTGCTGCCAGAGACAGCAGGGTGCATCAAAATCAGCAAATGATTCTTGACGACCTTCTTTCTATTAACAGTAAGCACCTGTACTGGGTGATTTGTCCTAGCAATTGTGCCATAGACATCCTCTGCCTAGCAGTTAAAGAGCTTCTTCTTCTTCCTGTGCAGTACAGGCGCCTCAACTGATGCACACCAAAGTCATCCTATCCATCGTTATTGAATGCATCTTACAAACCAGCATCACCAGAACAGATTGCAGTGGGCAACCCAGTATTGTCAATGGACTGCTTGAAATGATACGATAATGGTTTAGTTTAGTCACGTATTATTCTTTGTGCTCCAAGGAGACTGTAGTTCACTTTACATTATAATGGTTTACAACACTGCTTCATTTATACAGGCTACGTCCTAGGCATAATAGTTTTGGAGTGTAATACATCTACAGATTGAAAATGTCAATTGTAGTGTGGGCTCTGGCCAATGGCACATGACGATCTCCATGTTCAACATTTTGGCCCGCCAGCAAACTTAGTTGAATAGCCCTGCCCTACAGAAATAAGGTTCATGTGGGTAAAGATTCGACATCACAGCATGCAGGACAAGTCAATATTAGCTCAGTCTCCCTCCTCAACAGACAGCGAAAAGTTTCTATACTGATGGTACCTTTGTCACCTTCTTTCTGAGTCTTAAGTGGTGCCAAGAGCCCACAGCCACTCCTCGCTGTATCATTCTCTCCAGGTATGGATTTTTAGAACTCTACATTTCACCTGTTACCCTGTCCCAGAGGTTTCAGATTCCCAAATATTATATATACAAGTGCAAAACCAAATATATATAAACACTGCTGTTTTGAATTGTCAAGTTGTAAAGTGGCTTTATGTCAAGATTGAAACATTAATTCTGTCAAATACAATTGTGAAACAGGTTTTAAAATTTATATTAGTTGTCCAATACACTTCCAATGGTACTGAGTTTTGGCTATCCTCCGAATAATGGTCCCAAATTATCGAGGCCGAAAATATACCCTAACAGAGCCTCAGTCACATGTCAATTGCGGACTTTTGGCGACTTAAATTGCGGACTTCCAGCGACTTCCGCTGAGAGTATCCCTCACATGGCGCGGATTGGGGCTAAACTAGATGGCTGGGACATACGAGCAGCAGCTACCGCATCTCCTGCAGCTTCCTTCATTTTATTCGCTCGTATAGTCCCCAGAAGTACACAACTGACACGTGACTGAAGCCCTGTTAGGGTATATTTTCTGCCTTGATAATTTGGGACCGTTATTCGGAGGATAGCCATTTTAGGCCTCGATAATTTTGGACCATATTCGGAGGATAGCCGAGTTCTTGTTCTTAGCATATAATGAACTTAGAGTGTAGACTGTAGGCAAGGGAAAGACTACACACATGATGTGGAACGACATATCAAGAACAGCCTTAGCAAAATGGAGAACAACATTCATTAGACAGCACACACACAGTGACACACACCGAACACCCTCTTACATCTCCACTCAACATTTTGATGACGTAATGGAGGAAGAAAAGAAGAACATGCACTTAAAAGATTACACTGACATTTGTTATCATCAACAGAAGATGACGATGCTGAAGCCGGTACAGACAGTAAATTAAAATTGGTGGTAAACACTTTAAAAAAATTAAATAAAATATAAACTATAAATGAAAAAAGTTTGGGCTATCTTCAGAATAACAGTCCCAAATTATCGAGGCCGAAAATATACCCTAACAGGGCCTCAGTCACATGTAAATTGCGCTCTTTCGGCAACTTAAATTGCGCACCTGTATTGGGGCTAAACTAGATGGCTGGGACTCACGGTCAGCAGCAGCTTCTCCTGCAGCTTCCTTCATTTTAATTGCTCGTGACTCCCAGCCAAGCCGCGGAGTCAGATACACTCCGCAAGTTACATGTGACTGAGGCCCTGTTAGAGTATACTTTCGGCTTCGATAATTTGGGAAAGTTATTCGGAGGATATGAAGATAGCCAAAGTTTGTTTTGGGACCTAGATTCAGGATTTCAGGTTTACAAGTTATTTGGCTCTACTGGCAAATCCGGACGAACAATAAAAAGCCTTGGACGACTTGGTCAGAGTTCTCTCCCTTGGCCGCACTCCAAACAGTGATCGGAAAAGCCACAACGAAACAAACGACACACTTACCTATCATCCTACGGTTGCGTGTAGGGCTGCGTACGGTTGCGTGAGGCATCGTGACGGGATGCGTGGTCATCATATGGTTGCGTGCAGGGTTGCGTACGGTTGCGTCATTCATCGTGAATGGTTGTGTAGTCATCATGCGGATGTTGGGTTAGAGTTAGGGATAGGGTTAGGGTTAGGGGTAGGGTTAGGCTTAAATGTGAAAATTTTGACGTAGGATTTCGAAATCCTGGCCGACAATCTAATGTTTGTGGGAGTTGCGCCACTGAAACTCTGCCAAATATGACGCCAATAGCGTGCGGCTGGTGCCCCCAATCGTTGGCGAATTGTGCGTTTGACCAGCATCCAGAGGCCCTCGATTGTTTGTGTGTGTGTATGGGACTGTGCGCGATTATAGGGAAATCAGGCGTCAAAATTGTCAAATCTAACGCTAAACCTAACCCTACCGCTAACCCTAATCCTAACCCTAACCGCGCAAATTTATCGATCATTTAATTTAAAGCAAACAAATCGGCAAAAACCAACAAACAAAACACACCCAAAAAAAAAACAGATCTGGGGGAGACAACCAAGCATTGGCAGCCCTGATGTCGACGTGACTGTCTTCTTTGTTTCGTTGACTTTTCCGATCACTGTTGGGAGTGCGGCCAAGGGAGAGAACTCTGACTAAGTCGTCCAAGGCTTTTTATTCTTCGTCCGGATTTGCCAGTAGAGCCAGATATTTTATTAGTTAGCATTCGTCCCATTCGAGTCTTACCTTTCCATTATGGAAGATCTTATTCAATGCAATATAGCTCAAGTGTGGCACAAGTAGAGCCGTAAAAACAATTCCAGCAGACGGAAGAATCTCCCACCACATATTGACTAAGACTCACTGACTGACAGCTGGAGACGAACCGAGGAACAAGTTGAGATAAACGACCTTCTCTCCTTTTCCCATTTCCGCTTCCGTCTCATTGAGTCAGGCACAGAAAAGGTACACGACATTCTAGTACAAATGAAACATTTAGTAATTATCAATAATAACAGATCAATTTGCTTATCTATGTAGCATTTTTTATTGTTAAGAAATTCTTCCTTGGGGGTGAGAGGGAAGGGTGTATAATTGTATTATATTTGAAATAATATGAAGGTTCAAACAAATACGTAAAAAGAACATGTGTACATAGTTAGGAATGGGGTTGTAAATTAATACAGTGAATAGTGGTGTTAGATTTAAAATAATATAAAAGGTATAAACAAATATTTTAAAAGAGTACCTGTGTACATTCTTGATGTGGGAGGGGGTCAAAAAGTGTTGATATATTTGAAATAATATGAAAGGTTGCTGCATGTAACATTTTTCACCGCAGAAAGAGAGTGACTTTCCTTTCCATGCATGCCTCGTCGCGTCACAGGGCCTCTCCTATGTTGCGGGGGTGTCATGTATTCCTAATTGTCAACGCTTTAATCGCTCTCAATTTTCTCGCTTCTCACCCCTTCCTTGCGTAATTATTTTCACGTTCTGCTCCCTGCGCGATGGTCCAGGAGTACGGAAAACGTTGTTTTATTTTTCTATTTCTAAGTTCCTTGTCGGTACATTCTCTGTCTGGAGGCGGGGGGCACCCTCAACGAACGTAAAAATACAAAAACATCACAATTTTGACAATTTCGATACTCACGAATCGTCGCGCCTGCAGCGCTTCGCCTGCAGTACTTCTCACTTGTACACAGGCGCCTGCGGCGCCTTAAAGAGATTCACGACGATACAACCTTCCAAAAATATTATATACGCTGAGCGAATGTGGAACTAAGCCTTATCATAATACTCCCGCAACATAGGAGAGACCCTGCGACGCGACGAGACATGAATGGGAAGGGAAGTCACTCTCTTTCTGCGGTGAATAACGTTGCTTGAATTGAAAGGTGTAAACAAATACTTAAAAGGAGTACGTGTATACATGGTTGGGGCTGGCAGGAGGCTCAGCTGTATAAAAATGTGTAGACGAAGCCTCAACCCACAGACAGGAGATTTTTGTTGTAGTTTTGTGTGTAGCTGTATTCCTGTGCTAAATGCTGACGATGGCTTTATAGTTCTTTCAACGTTTATTTGTCGTTCTTGTTTGATTTGATAGCGTTTTCATTCAATCTTTTTTGTTAAAAGAGGTAGGCATAGATACAAGCGGAAAGATAACATCAGAGAGGGCACATCTGCTTGCGAAAGAAAAAAGCGCGTCAGAGATCCATTGAAGTCTTCCTTCATGGCGGAGAAGGCACCTTACTTATCTCTCCTCCCCCTCATCCTACTTATAGTTTGTGCTAGCCTAATGTTTTGATGTCTGTAAACTCAAATTCTACTTTAAGAAATCTACGATTAGACTTACCCCCTTCCCTTTTCCCCCTCTACCTTCTCGGCACAGAGGACTTAGGTCCCTTGATACCGCCAAAATGGTTTAGCCAGCAATGTTTTTTTTTAGTTGCGCCCCTCTCTAACCCATATTTATATACGTCACTGGCAACAGATTCCACCCAATGCCAAGTGCTGCATTTTCCCACATAACAAGCTAGATATGATTAGGTCATCTGGCAGCAAGCGAACAATGCACGCAGAGACGTGAATTGATTATCTTACATCATCGTCCCTTAGCATTATGTGTCGTTGGGTCACCATTTCTCTTGACTGGTCAGCTCTCTCTACCTTTGGCGGTCAGTTATCTTACATAATTGAGTGATAATAGTGAAGCAGAGAATGGCCAGCGAATCTGAGAGACACAAAACACTTTTAGGAAAAGCAAAATGACATACACGTAAATGTTACTGGCGCCATTGTTATTTTAACGATCCGACTGATTAAGATAGGGACATGGCACTTATGGGGATGTTCCAAATGATGTAATGTCGATTCATAACTCAGATTTCTTCTCCACACTACAAAGAATTGTTATCTCTTCTCTTATTCCCGCTTTCCAAAAAAGTCTTCTGCAACACTAAACAGAATAGTTACATAGTCGTTCCTTCTATTCACCCCCCCCCCCCCGCTTTCTTAGCCTCAGATAATAGTCTGTTGAATGCAGGGGCGTAGCTACAGTATTTGGCGCCCCTGACAAGGTGGGGTCCGGTATTTTATTTTAAAAATTTGTTAGCCTTTACTCAAGTGTGGGTCTACTTTGAAAGACATTGGAGTGCACAATTATGAGGCTTGTTTAATTATTGTGCAAGTAAAAAAATTCAAAGGATACAAAAATGTGTACGGTAAAGTGTGTAATTTGCTCAGTGTAAACTCAAGAGTGTTGTGAATAACTATGGAATCAATAATTATATGATTCGGTCATTAGTACAAATTCCAGAGACATGTTTTTATGGTCAAGGAATCTAAATATTCAGTATACAATGTTTTTTTAGCCCACTGCTCCCCCACCCCCAAATAAAACCCCTCAAAAACATACGGTTTTTTAGATTCAATTTCTTAAGTTCCTATAAGTAATAATTTATAATTATTTGAAGTTTTTCATTTCAAACTAGCAGGTTAACAAATTTTTTAAAAACAAATCATGACACTTTAGTGACACATAATTAAAACTACAAATGAATGTTTCTTGCTTCTACTGATGCGAACACTTAATCTTTCAAGTGCTTCCGACTGGTAGAATCTTTTTTTCTTGCTTCAGAGAGAACGGAGGATATGATTATGAATCAAGAACATAACATGCAAAATTCTGACATTGTAGAACAGCAATAAGCCAAACAGGACCATTAATAAAGTCTTCCCTATGTGAAATTGTTTGCTATTTGAAGCCCCACTCTAGCTTCTACCGAGGGCCCTGAATATAGCCGGGCTATAGATATGGCCATAACGGTTGAAAGGGGTTTCTGGGACCTCTCCACAGCAGATCCTCATCCGCATGGTGGCACTCACGCCCATCTGGAGCTATTTATAAGAGTCGGCTGTGGTGGCACTTTGTATCACCAGGTGTTTATCGCTTGTGTGATGTCCTGGTAGGGTACAACAACCAACCAATCAACCAACACGACCATTCATCAGTTTTTCATCAAATGTTTGGTTTGGTTTATACGACGGATCACATCATGGCACAAGAGTAGTTACCCATAAGTGCTCCTTTCTACTTCTTAACTCAAGCCTGAGTCCGAAGAATCTCAACACAGTGTACGAACTCCGTAGCACCGGCGAGGATCCTGAAATACTTTGGGTAGATTTTAAGCTCTAAACTGTGCCAGGGCAGCGCAGGTTATGCTATTCTTTTCGATTTCCAACTGTCAAGGGATTTTTTTAACATGCGACCCAATACACACGGGCGTCCTATCTTACTACCAAGACATCAGGGAAAATTATCTTTACAGATGGGTCCGCAGAAAGTGCAGTTAGAAATGATGGCACTGGGGTGTACATCGAATTCCCAGATGGTAGTAGGAATAAGTCCAGCGTACCAACCGGGAAGTACTGCCATAACTATGATGCAGAAACCCAGGCTATAAAGATAGCTACATAGAAACTGCTAAATACCAACCTTGGCTCACAGTATGTGGTAATGCTGACAGATGCTAAATCAGTACTTGAAGCACTCCAGTCTAGGAAACTACCAGAATTGAAAACACTGCTGACACAACTCAGCCTTCAGCGAAGAGTCGTAATGCAGTGGATACCGTCTCATTGTGGAGTGCCTGGAAATGAGAAAGCTGATCAACTGGCAGGGGAAGGTGCGACAAAAGAGCAGCCGGATGTACCAGTCACATACCACTAAAAGAAAAGAATCATTAAATCGATCAGGAAACCACCAGCCCCAGCACAAGACGACTTTTTTATTATGGACAGACCAGAACAAATAATTATCCTCCGCCTCAGAACAGAGCACAACTGATTACGTAACCACATGTACACAAAGTTCAAGATAGGTGTATCAGCCATGTGCACCTGTGGAAATGTGCCCCAGACAGCAGAGCATGTACTCCAGGACTGCACCGATTTTGACACGTTAAGGCAAACCTTTTGGCCAAAAAGAACAACAGTGGAGCGTAAACTCTATGGACCACTGAATGAACTAACAACGACAGTGAAATTTATACGAGACAAAACTGCTGATATAGACAACTTATTTCAGGCGAACGAAAGAAGAAGAAGAAGGAAAAATTAATAGAAGTCCACGTAAAAAAATCCCGGCCTGAACCCGGAACCTCCAGCACTCGGGGCGGACACCATGCCCAGAGACCACTCAGTCCCCTATCGCACATTTTTTTTTTTTAAATTAAGAAACATGTTCTGGGTACTGTTAAAAAAAAATTATGACTTTGGCCAGACTACTGAATGTATTTTTGTTAAATGTAAGTGGTGCCGAGTCGGCTCTGTGGCTATGTCGATACGAACGCTTCATAATGCCGGGATGTCGGGTTCGATCCCAGCTGTGGGCCATGCGCCTTGCGTTGGTTTCGACAGTGGTATCAAGAAAGCCGACAGTCCAGAAAGCAATGGCAAACTACTGGACGTAAGTTTACCCAGAAACGTCCTGTAAAGGATACGCAACTAATCTAAGTGGTGCTGATCAGGAGTAAATGTTTATGTTGGCAGGCGTTCTTCTAACATTGTTCAACATAATGAAACTCACTATGGACCCTCCAGATGAGATGCTGCCCCGTTCTGGCGCCCACATTGCGGTGGCGCCCCGGGCATCTGCCCTACCTGCCATACTCAAGTTACGCCACTGTTTGAATGTTGACCTTACATTCTCTTATAACGGTTCTTTTACTCCTTGTTTCAGATATTTTCTCTTGATGAAATCTTGGCTTTCAGTTAATTTCTCTCTTTCTCGAGTGTGACGGTTAAGACATCTATTTTATGACTAGTGGCACTTTATTAAACAGTTGGGAATAGTTTTTGCATCATCCCCGCGTGGAGCCACAAATGAAAAAAAAGGGGGGGGGAGGGGGGACTGAGGAAGTAAAACAGATCTACTGACTCTTAACAAACATGCCATAAAGGACCACTACTTAAGAATGTGCTTAAGTGAATGTGTCGTGCATTCTTCTTCATGCCCATCGACATATTTCGTCTCACGGTATTGTGCCTGTTTACGCAGTTGCCGCGATATTATAAAACGCCTTTCAAACGACACATCTCAGATCTGTGTCTTCTTTATTAACCGGCTGTAGGCTCTGGCGGAAAGTCCTGACCGTTCGTCCATGTGGACTTTGGCTTTGTGCCAGTACCTGAGTTTTGCGTGTACATCCGTTTTACTGCCTTATTTGTGTGCAGCTGGTTGTTCCTAGCCGCTAGGGCAAATGCATTCCGACTTCGAAGGAAGTCCCAAGTTAGTTGACTCCTATGACATGCTTGAGGGAAGGCAGTGGGTCTATTTTTGTTTTCCCCATAATGGGGCCCCAGAACTGACACAAGGAATCTCAGATCTGATTTCATGGGGACTTTGTTTACCGGGTTAGCCTTCCTGGTTAGTTTTGTGGGACATTCTACAGCTTCATTTGTATGGTGACTTCTCCCCTGATCCACATGTGTTATCCACAGAGGACTTATCTAGGGCAGCCATGTGCAGACTGGTCGGCTTGCAAGAGAAGACAGGTGTAGAATACAAGCATTCCTTGCCATCAAAAGAGGTTCCATAGATGCATCATCGTTGCATAGAGCTCTGATACTAAGCTCACCCAAGGAATCGTCACGTCATGCACAGAGCCACTTAACGCTACATTCAAATATTCAGGCTCACATCCAACAAGAGCTGCACTATTTGGAGTACATGAGGACGCAGTCTGCAGATACGAGACTTTAATGCCCCACATACAACGGGCATCCAGCTTTCTCTGCACGTTTGACTTCTTTCATTGCCAACTGAAGCTGTTATGTTTGTTTTCCTGGCACTTAGCGCGTCAGTAAAGATAACCATATATATGGCATGGCTTCCCCTTATGAATGACACTTCGGCGAGTGTTTTTAATGGTAGCCGACATTTGAACTTTTTTGTCATCAAGTAGGATCTTTGCATGACAGACGTCTGAACCTTAGCTGTCATTTGGTAGGTCACTTGAGGGACAGATATTTCAACCTGATGGCAATTAGTAGGATTCTTGATCAACAGATGTGTGAATCATGCTTTCTCATGTAGTATGAAAATCCTATAGTGGACTCAACTGATGTTCCAAATGAGTTTTTCAACTGACATTACCACCAAAGCATTAGGGTTGGCTGTTGACTGCCAGAGGTTTCTAAGAAACTGCAACGCTGATCAGCACTAGCTCAAAGACAACCTTCCAGCCCCTTTTCTTCTTACAGTCCATGCTGTGTGACACTGGTAGTCTCTTCACAACGTTCTTTTTCATGTACTTTCAATTGATTCTGATACAGATGTTCTTCCATGCCATTATGTTAAACTTTCCATATTCTCTCTCTGTCTTCCTATGTTTCTTTTCCCCTCACACTTTCCTCCTGTCATGATGCACTCCAGTTTCTGTTTTCTCATGACATGATCAAAGAATGTAGATTGTCTCCTCATGTGGGCAGTCAGTTCTCTTAATGACTCAGTTTCTATTAAGATACTGATCAGCTTATTACCTCATACAACATCAGAATAGTGATGCAGTGGATTCCAGGCCACTCCGGCACACCAGGTAATGACAGAGCTGACAGACTAGCAAAGAAAGGAGCAACACAAGAACAACCACCTACAGCTACAACCCTACAGACAGCAAAAACTCTTAAAAAAGCTATAAACTAAGAGACTTGGTTAAACAGAAGGGCCATGGAAGACACTGGACGAGAGGTTTATAGACACATGGCTAGCCCTGATCCTAATGACAGCATTAACCATTTAACAAGAAGGGACCAGGCCACCATCTACAGACTCAGAGAACACAACATACTCCCCTCAATGGACACCTAAACAGAATACAGCCACAACACTCCCTAGAGTGCCAGCTATGTACTACCCCTACGAAACTGTTGAACACCATCTCTTTGAGTGCCCAAAACTCAGTGAGACTAGAAGAATGCTACTCCCTCCGAGACCAGACAAGTGAAACACCTTGTACAAGGGAAAAGAACAGCTTGTGAAAACATGCAAATTCCACTACATGGCATTGGGCCAAAGCTCATGCGCCGCTGGATCGATAACAACAACTATCAAGAGAACTTTATTACTCTTTTTTTTAAAAATCTGTTTATGGTATTATAATTCATTTGGCCATTACCTGTGGTGCATGACAAGGATGTTTGTTAGGCAGGAGTCTTGCATAAGGTACCGTAAAACCAGCTCACAGCCTGCTGGCACCTGAGATAAGGTATAGGGTAACCTCTTGTACACAGCATAACTGCCTCAACTTCCCTTCCTGCTTGTGACTGAAATCACAGCCCCATGTTAGTTCACAGCATAACTGCCTCAACTTTCCCTTCCTGCTTGTGACTGAAATCACAGCCCCATGTTAGTTCACAGCATAACTGCCTCAACTTCCCTTCCTGCTTGTGACTGAAATCACAGCCCCATGTTAGTTCACAGCATAACTGCCTCAACTTCCCTTCCTGCTTGTGACTGAAATCACAGCCCCATGTTAGTTCACAGCTTAACTGCCTCAACTTCCCTTCCTGCTTGTGACTGAAATCACAGCACCATGTTAGTTCACAGCATAACTGCCTCAACTTCCCTTCCTGCTTGTGACTAAAATCACAGGACCATGTTAGTTCGGTTATCATTGCACTCCCGACATGTCCACAGGTGCTCAGAACCTCCCTTCAGTACAAACCGCAGCGTCTGGTGGCTAACAGTACCAGTTCTATGTTGATTAACAAGTCCTCTTGTGTATGTCTCGTTTTTTTGGTATACCTATATTTACTCCCAAAACAGCACCATGTGTTAGACCTAGATAAGCAGATATCACAGTCCAGCTGTAAACCACAACTTAATGTGCCAACCACCCTTCTAACTCAGTCAGCACCAAAGAATTTATTATATTGTTGTTGAATTCTGCTCTCTGTCATACACTATTAATAACTCTTTGCTGGAAAATACGGTTTATGTGAACCCATGTTTCTCCACATTGCAGCTTGAAACCTTTTTGTTATTATTATTATATTTTGTTTGTTTCAGCTCCAATCTTTATTAGTTCAAATTATAAAATCTTAGGAGATAACGTGTTAAAACAGCATCCACCAGGGACTGAAAAATTTACAAAGTTACATCACAAATTCTGAAACTGTTTTCACTTTTAATATTCGTTGATTTGATCATGATGGAAGTGTTGTCCACACATAACCTAATCTCTGGTCAAGGTGAAGTGGCCGGAAGAGTGCCTGTTTGTGTACTTTCATTTTTCACAGGTTTCCCAGGGATTTTGATATCCTCTTTGTTCACTGCTTACATCATCTGCTTTTCTTTAAATATATTCTTTCTTCTTCTTCAGCGTTTGACATCAGTCATGCTAAACATTGAGTGCCGTCTGGGTCACAAATAGGATTGTGCGTTTGAGGTCGCCACCGGTCCCCCATAGCTTCTCTTGCTTCTTCTTCGTGGCTAGGTCGGGCAGAAGATGTTATTAGGCAAATATGCAGCCTAACCGACATCATACCTGGTGCAGAATGGATACCTGTGCCTCAGGCGTTTATTTGTACATTTTCCTGTATTGTCACACTCAACAGGCGATGTAGAGAAGAGAATCCTGTTGCTGTTAATGCAGAGGTCAACGCTCTCATCGGTGAAAATTCAGACGAAGCAGATGCAATAATCTATACAGACGGATCCGTTATACGCCAAAGAAGAAGCGCATGGGCATTTACAGCACGCTCAGCGGGCAGAACAGTCAAAGAAGCCAACGGCGCCTTCTCCATGACAACAGCAGCATGACGATGGAGGTGATGGCAGTGACACAAGCGCTTGCCTGGCTTGAAACACAAAAATACACCCGCGTGTGTATACTCAGTGATTCACTTGAGTATGATCCGGAGGGTTCAGGCAGGTTCAGTGCGAAGACAATGGCTTGAATCATTACAGAAGTCCACTGTTCGTGGAGTCACCTTTATTTTTGTTCCGGGACACGCAGGCGTCAATGGAAATGAAAGAGCTGACAGGTTGGCTGGATCCGCTATCACTACCACGGTCAGCCTATGGATCAGCTGATATTATCAATGCCCTCAGAGAAATGGGAAGATAGAGGACTTTGGTGGCAGTGAATCCACATCATCGCCAGAATGGCAGACTTGGGAATTAAGATCAGCACAGCAAAAAACGAGACGCACACCAGCTACGCCAGAAGACTTGTTAATCAACATAGAACTGGTACTATTAGCCATCGGACGTTGGGGTTCATACTGAGGGGAGGATCTGAGCACCTATGGACATGTCCGGAGTGCAATGAGGATAACCCAACTAACTAACTAACTAACTAACTAACTTCTCTTGCAATGTGGCTCCCTTGGGCCAACATACATGTTTGTTCATCATTTACATCATCTTGTTTCTTTCAAAATACATATTTGTTCATCATTTACATCATCTTGCTTCTTTCAAAATACATATTTGTTCATCATTTACATCATCTTGTTTCTTTCAACTTACATGTTTGTTCATCATTTACATCAACTTGATTCGTTTAACATACGTATTTGTTCATTTGCATCATCTTGTTTCTTTCAACATACATGACAGGAGAGCAATCTAATGAGGACTATTTGTATTTAATTATTTTATTCATGTCATATATTCTTTCACACATGAGCTTTCATAGCCAATGGAACCTGTCATGTAGGTGTTTGTGGCACTTAGCGTGTCAGTAAAGAGAAAATTTAAAACATCAACAACAAAAAACCCCTTCCATATTACACACACAAAATTTGGACAAGGCAGTAACAGAAAAAGCTATGTCCCATCATCCTGAGCTTTGTAATGACGAAACTCTGGTTTCAGTTCCCACATGTTCTTGTGTGGTGCTGTCATGTTGTAGTTGCAGATCTCATTGAGGATCTCCTTCAAGTATGGCTGAGGAAACAAAACGTGACAAGTTTTACTTAAAATAAAAAAAAAAATTTCAGACACAGTTAAAACAACAATTAAAAAAAAAAAATATGGTGTGACCGAATGAACAAGAAACTTTTAAAGCATGGTTGAAGACACTACATTTATTTACAACTTGGCAAAAATTGGCATACCTCTTGACATGACTGGGTCAACACCCAACAATGGTCAGACATGGCTGAGACAACACCAAAAACTGTTCAAGTATGACGGGTTCAATACCTCAAACCATTAGCTATGGCTATGAGTGGAAATCAATGTAAGTCTATTTGTTACTATATATGGTTGCCATGGTCGGTAAATAAACATAGTGAGCTAGTGGGATCTAAAGAGATGTTTTACAAAAGAATGATGAGAATACTATGGACAGATTTAAAAAAAAAGGAATGAAGATATACTGAAAGCAATTAACACAAAAAGATCTGATTACCTACATCAGAAGAAGAAAAAAATCCACATTCTTTAAATACACCATAAGAAAAAACTGAAGTATGTCCTAACAATGAGTCGATTAAAGAGCAAAACAGCCAGAAGGAGACCAAAAGAAAAGATGGGCAGTTTCATAAAGTAACTTAGAGAATCCGTGTTTCAGAAATTTCTGACAGCATACGAGACAAAAGGCCTTGGACAGATACGCTGTGAGCTGAGGATTTCACTTGGATTCAGAATATGGCGAATGGTCTGTTACCAGAGAACTAGTGGTGCCTTATGTTGTTAATTGCATGTACAGCTATTGATCTGTAATAACTACTACTTCCATAAATAATGATAAACTGCATTTCCAGTGCTGGACTGTTTGTGCTGGCTATTCTGACAGCTGCCTTATGTATTAAATGCCTGTGTATGCTATTGGCTTTTTTGAGACTACAGTCTGTGTAATTTTTGACAAGGGACAGTGACTTACAGTTTGTCTGGCTTTTGTTGGCATAAGAACAGAGGGACGATGGTGTGACTATGAAGTTTGAACTGTGATTACCTGATTTATAAACATGATTGCAAACATCCCACAGCACAGAAGAAGTTTAGAATATCAAAATTTCAAACAGCTGAGGAGCTATAGCTGCTCTTTTATCAATTAAAATACAGAAGCTAACAAAAGCAGAGATGGTCATGCACTTACCACTGGCTGCTTAGTGATACCCACAAGATCTTTGACATTGTAGAACTGATGTTTCTCAAATGCATTAAACAACACATCCATAACCTTGCTCTTCTCAGCCCGGGATCGTTTCTCTGCTTTCTTTGCCTTTCTCTCTTCAAACTGGAGGATACAACAATATACACGCATTACATTTTTGCTGTGCTGACATTAGCAACACAGAAACAGAGTTTTAAAGAATACACCACATCTAGACTCTTAACAATGTGGTGTAGTGTAAAGAGAGAGGGATAGTCCAAGAGGCTAATATCTCTTTAGCTAGGTGATGTATAGCTCCAGGAATAATACTTGCATAAAGTGGTGGCCACAGCCACAGAAAACAGACTTGGAAAAAAAGTAAAGGACCCCTTTCCACGCGTTTAGGCGTATAGGGCATACATGGCTAGACCTATGTTTTATAGACCAATTGGCACAAGATGGGTGATGTGGTCAGCATCACGCCCACCGCTCTTACTTGTCAGGACTGCACCCGGTACCCACTCAAGGCTGGGTCGACCTGGGAGCCATAGTCATTTTTGAAAAACAAAGGCCGGCTTCGCCAGGAAGTGAACCCATGACCTTCCGATCTGCAGGCGAGCGTCTAGCCGCTCCGCCACGCCGACTCTCAAAACAGACTTGGATGACTGGATAAACTTCTTTTTTTTTTGCGTTCACAATTGTTAACTCTGAAGTTCAGTTAATTTGTCCACTTCTTGACTTAGTCTTGTTCTGGAACCTGAGTTTTGCGTGCACATCCATTTTACAGATCTGGCTTATTGGTAGGCAGACTGCTGGCTCCTCGCCTTTCAGGCATATGCAATCCAGCTCCAAAGGAAACATCCTTAATCGGTCAATTCTTACATGTTTGTTAGGTGTCAGTGGGTCTAATTTTTTTTGGCCAACAACTGGGCCCTGGAACAGACACTGAGAGAAGTAGGAGTAATATCCTAGTAGAAAATACAAATACATATCTACAATGTATAAAATACATATTAAGCATGATGAATTACTATATTAAATCCCCACTCATGAGAAAACCAAACAGGGCCACATCTGATGAAATACTCAAAGCAGTGAAGTCAAATTAGGAGGAACCAAATTTCTGAGTTACTCACAGTGTTAAAGTGATCACTGACAGGTTTGTAAGTGTTGACGATGCCAGTTAGTAACACAGTTTGTCTCTGTGGTGTGTTCTGGGCCTGAACGTGCTCTCTGTGAACATGAAGGTACAGAACTAAAAAGAAATTGACCAGATATTTTAAAACAGTACAAGCTAGTTTATTTAAATTTACAACCATGAGCTCCCTGTCTGGGGTCTAGGGCCTCATTTTTGGGGGATCACTGATCATCAGCAAGCATGTAGTAAAAGGCGACTAATTAAGGATCTGGAGTCGCCATGGCGGAGCAGCTAGACGCTCGCTGCAGATCAGAAGGTCGTGGGTTCTCTCCCTGGCGGAGCCGGACTTTAAAAAAAAAAAAGACCTTGCCTCCCAGGTCAACCTAGTCTTGATTGGGTACCGAGTGCATTCCCGGTAAATAAAGGCAGCCGGCGTGATGCTGACCACATAGCCCATCTTGTGCTAGCTGGTCTATAAAATATAGATCTAGCTCTATATGCCCTTTAGCCTAAAAGCATGGAAAAGAGTCCTTTACTTTTTATTTACTTAATTAAGGATCTGATGAAATCTGGTGTGTTGGGGCCAAAATAAGCCCATATCACAGACTAGCTGTAAACTACAACACAATGTTGCAACTGACCTTTTAAGAAGAAGCGACCAACCATGCTGACAAAGTAATAACAACATACAGTGGCGTCTTGACTAACAAACCTAACTTGATCCAGACTGTGGTTTATATCTTGGGCAGATCATTTTCAGTATCTTTGATGTGTTCAATAGTGAATATGAACTGGGTTGAGTTGAGCTGATTCAAGGACCGACGTCACAACATTCCGGGCATTCCCATAGTTGTTCTGTCCTCATCTTCAGCAGCCAACGCAAAGTTCAAATACCAATGGTGCCAGTAGCCTTCTGATTAAACAACCGTCTTGCCGTTCCTCTGAGTGTAAAGCATCGGCCAGAACCCTCGTCACTCTCCGCTGCATCATTTTCACCAGACTGTGATCTATTTGCTTCTCTGAATTGTACACATTCTCCCACATGGCGCTAACCACATCTGCCTTATTATGCATCAATATTCCACCAAGCTGTGCACAGCCAGCCAGTCTGTCCGCCTGTTCATTTCCCAACACACCGGCATCTCCTGGAGAAAAGATCCGGACGATACTCCTCACCCGTGACCTCAGCATGCTTTCTGAGTCAGTAACAATCACGATGTGTGCGTATGTTGTGTTCTCTAGCCAGCGAAAAGCTGAACTGGGAAATGAACAAAGCCCATCTGCAGACTTCTGCATTACTGCATCACTACTTGCATCTTTTGTAAGTAACTTTGTTAATCCATGGTTGTCTGTAAGGACGGTTAATTCTTTGCCTTTTGCCTTAAAGACTGATAACCAGTGCTAAAGCCTCTTGTTCAAATATATTGTATTTCTGTTAAGCTGAGTCAAGTTTCGGTGACATGAACCAGGTAGTAGTGCCACTATATGTTTTTGCGCAAGCATACTTGCTATTTTATGCCCACTGGCATGTGTCTGTAAATAACAATTTTTGGAGTGGTCTGGCTGTCTTAAAATTTGGAAATGTGAAAAACAAGTTTTAATTTTTGACAAAATGTCATCAGGAGTCTCTAACCAATCTTACATTTTCAACAGTTCTTATAATGAGGCAATGTCTGGTATAAATTTACCATAATAAATAATTTATACTGGAAACCCAGTAATATAAAGTTGACTATTACTAAAATGTTCACAGATTGATCCAATTCATCATCATTATCATCCTGCTATGCCGTTATGTGTCACGTAGGGCTCGCAAATTATTCATCTACAGAAATTATAGAGTTGAGTGGTCTCGAGGTATGGTGTCCGCCTCGAGTACTGGAGGTCCCAGATTCAAGCCCGGGTGAAAGCTGGGATTTTTTACAGGGACTTCAAGTAATTTTCCCTGGTCTCTGGTTAGTAAGATTGGACACCTGTATGTATTGCTGCACAAGTAAAAAAATCCCTTGGCAGCTGGAAACCGAAAAGAGTAACCTAATGGCACTGCTAGGGTCAAAATTTTGGAGTTACAAAATCTACCCAACATATTTCAGGATCCTTGCCGGTGCAACAGAGTTCATGCACTGCACTGAGATTCTTCAGACTCAGGCGTGAGTTAGAAGTAGAATGGAGCACTTATGGGTTACACTCCTGCGCCATGATGTTGATCCATCGAATAAACATTTAACAATTATATCACCATCTTCTTTGTTTTTTAACTTTTGATACCAGCCGCAGTCCAGACATTTATCTTATTACTTCCTCTTTCTTGAATTCATCAAATTTCCTGTCATCAGTTTCTTTTTTTTAATGCATTTAAACTGTCACTCCATGTTTCTTTAATTTGATTAACTTGTGGAGACCACACAGACACACACAAACAATACTAGTAAACTTACTTCTTCAACTGTTGGTAGCTGGCATCAACAATTGGGTGGCATTCAGCTCGGTGTAAAACTTTACCCTCAATACTGATTTTTTCTGTCATCAGCAATTAGAAATTACAGTCAAATTTTTTTGGTCACTTTATGAGAAACAAATTATCTAGGGCCTCTTAGATCTATGTTTCCTAAAAAGGACCCCGAGCGGGGGAGGGGGGTTGCACTTTGAGTGTTAAGAGGGGCATTCAAAAACAGACTCATCCAGAGTTCAAGTTACATCATCATCATGTTGCAGGTTATTTGCAGAAAGTCGCTCTCATCACAGTCTGCCTGAAAGAAACTCAGTCTCTCGCCAGCTCTCCTGCCTAATGTACTTTCACACTCAAGGAGTAACTTATATCCTGTGCCCGTCTTCGTGTCGGTGCCCCTGCCCCTCCTTCCTGGTACCATGCCTTCTGCATAATTTTTTCCAATCCGTCTGGCACTTGATATGACCAAAAATTTCAACTTCAGACAAAGGATGCTGTTTATTAGCCAATCTTCCTTGATGTTCAGATCTTTTAAGATTTCAATATTTCTCGTCTTCTTTGTCCAAAATATTCTGAGAATCTTTCTATAGCATTTCAGCTCAAAAGCCCCTATTTTATAGTAAGTTACACAGGGTGCATAATAATGTGAAAAATGCTTAGGGGGTGGGGGGTTTAACAAACAAAGTTGAGAAACACTGACTTCGACACAAATGGCAAACTTGACGAAAAAGGGAGAAGGCTTGTGTGGAGCCTGGGAAGATAAAGAGATACAAGTCTCCATAAAAGCCACTCCATCATAGACGCAAGCCATTTTTTACATGGCAGATAACATAAACATCAATGTGGTTGAGCGTTAAAACAAGCTTTCCATAGGTTTAGTAACCAACCAACAATTTGGTAAAGTACTGCTGTAAAAGAAAAGGCAGTCTGGCAGCAGACAGTGTCATTAAGACAAGGATGAAACCCACCCACACTGGACTAAAGGTTACTTCATAACCACATCATGGTGCCAAAATATAACTGTGCTGTGTGGCTGAAAAAAAAAGCCTTCAAATGGAAAACAAATGGTATGAGTAAAAGAGAATGTCCAATGGAAACATTAAAAAGAAAACATTATTATCAGAGGCACTGGGCTGAACCCCATGTCAGAAATCATGCAATACAGCGGAGTGGTGGAATCGAATGTGAGCCCTGTGTGACGTCTAAAGGCACACAAAGGATGATGATGATGGCTAAACAGGTTAATGAGGTTTCCTGGATTTGGTTCTCAACCTTGGGATATCAATCTCACAGACAGCAAATCCTTAAAGGGACAAGCTTTCAAAAAACAAAAAAAACTGTAAAGTATTAGGACACTTATCACATCACTATCAATGGAAATATTACATCACACTCATATTTTTGAATGTTGAATTAGGAATAGACATCACAGCACTTAGGACACCCTCACAAGCGCTCCGTCCCTATCTTCAGCAGCAAGCGAAGAGTTAAAATTCTGATGGTACCAGTAACTGTCTGATTGTGTATCCGTCTCGCCTTTCCCCCAGTGTTGAGTGTCGGCATACTCATATTTTTTTTAAAATAGGTTAAATGACTGATGTGGTTCCAAGGACATAACCTGTTACCATTTAAGGCTGGGATGATCAAGGTCCCTTTAAAGAAATCAGACTCAATGAGGATTTTGAAGTGTACGGTCTTCATATATTCTAGGCTCTGACATGAAAACAGGATGATTGGTTCCTTTTCTCATCTTTCTCCCTACCAAGACAATATCCGGAATATTCTGGACGACATAGCCTGGTACTCATTTTTATGAGGCTGGGTTGACTTAACAGCTGTCCTGGTTGAAATAAAATCCTGTTGATGTGGTTTTCTGAGTTAATTCCCCCAATGGGACACAGGCTCTCAACCAATTCTTATCAAGTTATTCTATCCCTTGCCATTGCTTATTCTATGCCTTGCCACTGCTTGCAGGTTACCCCATATCCTTCCTATCTTTTTTGCAATTCCTTCTCAAATTCTCTGCTCTATGTGGTTTTGGTCTATCCTTAATCCTTTGAATCTGTGAGTAATGATCCTGTAAAAGTGAAGCACTTTTTACACATCTTTGGTGCACTGGGCATAAGTGTTAGGTTAGACCTATACTTTTGTATTGGGCATAAGTGTTAGACCTATACTTTTGTATTGGGCATAAGTGTTAGACCTATACTTTTGTATTGGGCATAAGTGTTAGACCTATACTATTGTATTGAGCATAAGTGTTAGACCTATACTTTTGTATTAGGCATAAGTGTTAGACCTATACTTTTGTATTGGGCATAAGTGTTAGACCTATACTTTTGTATTGGGCATAAGTGTTAGACCTATACTATTGTACTGGGCATAAGTGTTAGACCTATACTTTTGTATTGGGCATAAGTGTTAGACCTATACTATTGTATTGGGCATAAGTGTTAGACCTATACTATTGTACTGGGCATAAGTGTTAGACCTATACTATTGTATTGAGCATAAGTGTTAGACCTATACTATTGTACTGGGCATAAGTGTTAGACCTATACTTTTGTATTGGGCATAAGTGTTAGACCTATACTATTGTATTGGGCATAAGTGTTAGACCTATACTTTTGTATTGAGCATAAGTGTTAGACCTATACTATTGTATTGAGCATAAGTGTTAGCCTATACTATTGTATTGAGCATAAGTGTTAGACCTATACTTTTGTATTGGGCATAAGTGTTAGACCTATACTATTGTATTGGGCATAAGTGTTAGACCTATACTATTGTATTGGGCATAAGTGTTAGACCTATACTTTTGTATTAGGCATAAGTGTTAGACCTATACTTTTGTATTGGGCATAAGTGTTAGACCTATACTATTGTATTGGGCATAAGTGTTAGACCTATACTTTTGTATTGGGCATAAGTGTTAGACCTATACTTTTGTATTGGGCATAAGTGTTAGACCTATACTTTTGTATTGGGCATAAATGTTAGACCTATACTTTTGTACACTAATTGGTGCTTGATGGGTGATGCTGTCAACAAAAAGCCGGCTGCCTTTACTTCTTCAGATATTACCTGGTATCAATTTTAGGCCGCGTGGGCCCAGGATCCTAGCTCAGTTAAAAAAAAAAAAAATTGCCCTGATATGCATTTCAACTAGAACTGTACTGAATAGGTCATTATCACTATTCAGCCGAATACAAATAACGGGACCAACTATTCAGCCAAATAAGAATAGTGTATAAAATTGATCTTAAAAAACATTCTTAATATCAAGTGTACACTGAACTTTTACTTCAAAAAATGTAGTACAGAACAGTCAACATTTATAACCATTCTATGTTTTGCATCCTTCAGTCAGTCTGTGGTAACTAATAACAAGCAAGTGATCTAGATGTTATGATATTGTGGCTCCTGATGATCCTGTACTGGTTTGTAAAATAGTAATGTAAAATAGTAATAGACCACACACACACACACAAACACCAACCTGTTGCAGCTTCCTTACCAGACCCATCTGAAATAGTAATAACAGCAGTAATAAAAACATAATGTCAGATGTAAAGATGTTTACACGTGGTTATAAACTTAGAATACAACTTTCTAGCACTGTAGCAAGAATGCACTGAAAATCTTTTTCTGTACGCTGCCTTGTTAGAACGGAATCTGGTAACTCTGATTGGTTCCCAGTAGAAACAGGCGTGAAACAAGGATGTGTCTTGTCACCGATGCTTTTCGGAATAGCACTCGATTGGGTCATGCGCAAATGCACACAGGACACACATCTAGGCATCAAATGGGTCGACAAAGTTCTCGAAGATCTTGACTTTGCTGACGACCTAGCACTCCTGAGCACAACACATCTAGAAGCTCAGGAAAAAATGGACCGCCTCCAGAATATTTCAAGCCAAATCGGCCTTCAGGTCAACGCAGCCAAAACGAAAATCATCGATCTTACCAACGAGTCGAAAGACATCAAACTAAAGGATATTGTTCTTGAAAAAATCACCAGCTTCACATACTTAGGGAGCAAGATAACCTCTGCGGGAGATACAACATCAGAAATAACGAATCGAATCGCGTTAGCATCAAGTGCCTTTAACAAACTGTCAAACATTTGGAAGTCAAGATCACCCAGCAACAACACGAAACTTAAGGTCTTCAATTCATGTGTGATCCCAGTGCTAACTTATGGTTGTGAGAGTTGGAAATCATCAGTATCAATCGATAAGAAACTAGTCGCTTTCGAGAATAGATGCCTCCGAAAGCTATTGAATGTTCACTGGTCGGACTTTAGGTCCAATACATCTATAAGACAGGAAACAAAACAAAAATATGTGTCTGATTTTATTAGAAAGCGTCGCTGGAATTACATCGGTCACGTACTCAGAATGGACATACAGAGACTTCCCCACCAAGCCTTCATATGGTCACCAGAGGGTAAAAGAAAACAGGGAAGACCAAAAGAAACTCTCCGTAGAACCATCACAAGGGAGAGCTCAACCATAGGTCTCAGTCGCACTCAAGACCTACATCAAGTGGCAAAGAACCGACAGACGTGGAAAGCTATGACCTCTGCCCTATGCGCCATCTTTGGCACAAGAGGAATAACTAACTAACATCAGCTGTTGAAGGTCGCACATTGTGGAGAGGCATGATCGCCCATGCCAGTCCGCATGGCACTTGGTGATAAGTAAGAACATCCCAACTGTTGACAGCTGGTCTAGGAGAAGAGCTCTGATAAAGTGACGGAGCTCTGCTCTTCTGAAATCATAGCTTTTGCAGTGTGCTTTCCTCTAAATGTACCAATGATACATTCCCTTTGGGGTAAACAATTCCTGCTGAGACAGGATCTCTATATTACTGCTCAGGCTTTGTGCTATTAAGAAGAGGAACTTCACCCCTGTGAGTCTTATGACTCCCTATGGTACAATATAAGACTATCGTCTGGAAAGATGAGAATGTACCAACAACATGCCTATCTATAGCATCACATCACACAAGTAAATCAATCTCCAGTATTAAGTCATTAAAAAAACCCATCATTAACATCATATTACACTAGTAAGCCCAGCTCTATTATTTTACCACGCAAGCAATCCCGTCACTGCTAGCATCATATTACACTAGTAAGCACAAGCAATCCGTCACTGCTAGCATCATATTACACTAGTAAGCCCAGCTCTATTATTTTACCACGCAAGCAATCCCGTCACTGCTAGCATCATATTACACTAGTAAGCCCAGCTCTATTATTTTACCACGCAAGCAATCCCGTCACTGCTAGCATCATATTACACTAGTAAGCCCAGCTCTATTATTTTACCACGCAAGCAATCCCGTCACTGCTAGCATCATATTACACTAGTAAGCCCAGCTCTATTATTTTACCACGCAAGCAATCCCGTCACTGCTAGCATCATATTACACTAGTAAGCCCAGCTCTATTATTTTACCACGCAAGCAATCCCGTCACTGCTAGCATCATATTACACTAGTGAGCCCAGCTCTATTATTTTACCACGCAAGCAATCCCGTCACTGCTAGCATCATATTACACTAGTGAGCCCAGCTCTATTATTTTACCACGCAAGCAATCCCGTCACTGCTAGCATCATATTACACTAGTGAGCCCAGCTCTATTATTTTACCACGCAAGCAATCCCGTCACTGCTAGCATCATATTACACTAGTAAGCCCAGCTCTATTATTTTACCACGCAAGCAATCCCGTCACTGCTAGCATCATATTACACTAGTGAGCCCAGCTCTATTATTTTACCACGCAAGCAATCCCGTCACTGCTAGCATCATATTACACTAGTAAGCCCAGCTCTATTATTTTACCACGCAAGCAATCCCGTCACTGCTAGCATCATATTACACTAGTAAGCCCAGCTCTATTATTTAACTTTGCAAACAATCCCGTCACTGCTAGCATCATATTACACTAGTGAGCCCAGCTCTATTATTTTACCACGCAAGCAATCCCGTCACTGCTAGCATCATATTACACTAGTAAGCCCAGCTCTATTATTTTACCACGCAAGCAATCCCGTCACTGCTAGCATCATAAAAATACAACCAATTCTAGTTTGATTAAAAAAAAAAAAATTTAAAGCAGAAAAAAGGAATCTGATCAAAGAAAAAAGAAGAGACACCAGAAAAGAGAAAGTGAAATTTGACATATGACAGAAAAGTCAGAAATTAACTGTGGAAATGACACAGAAACAAAACAGACGTAATTAAAATAAGTTAGACGGCAAAGAAACAAAACAGAAGTAAGTAAAATAAGTTAGCTGGCACAGAAACAAAACAGAAGTAATTAAAATAAGTTAGCATCTGCAGCTTAAGCATTGCAAACATGCTTTGTAATTCTGAAATACCTGGTCTGATTCCACACATCTGATTGTGATATGGAAACAGACAGCTTTGAGTTTATTTCAACGATGGCATGAAGTGTCTACCTTTCAAAGAACAATGGCAAACTACTGAACACACACAAAAACGGTCCAGTAAACGCAAACAGCCACAAAATTCTGGGATAAGTTCTGCAACATCCTATACAGGATAAAGACTACATTTTTTAAAAGAGCGGGGGGGGGGGGGGGGGGGGGGGGGGGAAGGGGGGGAGGTGCTGAAAAAAATTCATAGAGAACCGGCCAATTCAATTGCAGCTTTTTTTTTTTTCAGTACATTTAGGCTGACGTCTGACTGAGGGTGTGCAAAAAAGATACTAGTTACACAATGCAAATAACCTTTAAAACAAGTATCTGATCAAAGCAAAGAATAGAGAAAGGCAAAATGAGCAATGCCTGCAGAAGTCAGATGTGTCAGCCAAAAAGCACCAATATTGCAGCCTTGCTCACAATGCAATTATGATCTTAAATAAACACAGATGAAATTACGAAAACAGGGGTGACTGCAGAAAGCTAATTTACAGAAAATAATCCACTGAATTAACTAAGAAGCTTAATGAAAGGAGAACAACACTGCCTGGAACTCTTGTAAATAAAAATAAAAAAATTACTGTCAAAAACTTAACAAATTATGACAAGCCATGTTTGTGAATATATGCCTCTGTATGCAGATACAACAATATGAACATTAGAGAAACTGGACAAGCTTAATAAGATATGAAGAAGAGAAAGGCACATTTTGTACTTGTATGTCGTTCCATTTTCACCCTTTCATTAAACTTCTTAGTCTCAGTCGAGCGGATTAATTTTTTACAGAATCAAATGAATAAGACGACAAGCAAGGAACTATTCTAAAGATATTACCTATTTTTGCCTGGGACATGACCACTAAATTCTGGTTTCCAACATTTGTGACAATAAATTTGTGGTTGCGTATACTTCCTCCCCGCTGCACTGGTTTGGGGGCAGCAGCAGCTGCAGCCAGTCCTTCCTGAGTAGGCGTTATTTTTGATGACAAATCAAAACTGGTCAATACAATGTCTGGTTTCTTGCCTGGAATTCTGGGATGCACACACACAAAAAAAACTACATGAATATCACTGGTCAAAAACTTCCCAAATTAAGCAACTGTATATGTAAAAGTATGAGAGCCGCCATGGTGTAGTCGCTGTGGATTAGATGGTCGTGGGTTCGTCAGGTCCTGATGGATCTTGACTTTTTTCAAATTTCTAAAAATGACCAGGGCTTTCAGGTTGACCCAGCCTTGAGTGGGTCCTGGGAACAGTCCTGGAAAGTAAAGGTGGCTGGCGTGATGCTGACATCTCCCACACAGTGCTGTTTGGTCTAGCCCTATATGCCCAATACATCCGAAGGAGTCGAAAAGGGTCCTTTATGTAAATGTATGAATCTGTAAGCAGGGCATATACTAGAGATACTGGACAAGCTTAGATAAATTTTCTTGGATGTAGGATTCAGACACACTTAAAAAACATACTGTGCCATCTCCACCATGGAGGCTGGCTGCAATGTATCCAGTGCTCAGTACAGGAAAGTCCTGTGGTAAGGCCTCAGTATCTTCCATGGTGTGCCTCTTGTACACCTGTCTGAAAGCTATGAGAATGGATTTTTCTCTAAACCAACCACCATGGAAATCAAACCCTGTTCAATCTTGAGGATTGCATCGTGACCTCTAAGGCACACAGCTGCACAGACACACTTTACAAGCTAAGTACTCTGTCCTCTTCAACCCATGGACATTTAAATAGTTAACAAACTACTTTTGTTTGTCCTCTTCTACCCATGGACACTGAAATAGTTAACAAACTACTTTAGTCTGTCGTCTTCTACCCATGGACACTGAAATAGTTAGCAAACTACTTTAGTCTGTCCTCTTCTATCCATGGACACTGAAATAGTTAACAAACTATGGTCACCCATGGACAAATAGTTAACAAACTACTTTTGTTTGTCCTCTTCTACCCATGGACACTGAAATAGTTAACAAACTACTTTATTCTGTCCTCTTCTACCCATGGACAGTGAAATAGTTAACAAACTACTTTATTCTGTCCTCTTCTACCCATGGACACTGAAATAGTTAACAAACTACTTTATTCTGTCCTCTTCTATCCATGGACACTGAAATAGTTAACAAACTACTTTTGTTTGTCCTCTTCTACCCATGGACACTGAAATAGTTAACAAACTACTTTTGTTTGTCCTCTTCTACCCATGGACACTGAAATAGTTAACAAACTACTTTTTCTGTCCTCTTCTACCCATGGACAGTGAAATATTTAACAAACTACTTTATTCTGTCGTCTTCTACCCATGGACACTGAAATAGTTAACAAACTACTCTATTCTGTCCTTTTCTATCCATGGACACTGAAATAGTTAACAAACTACTTTATTCTGTCCTCTTCTACCCATGGACAGTGAAATAGTTAACAAACTACTTTAGTCTGTCCTCTTCTACCTATGGACACTGAAATAGTTAACAAACTACTTTAGTCTGTCCTCTTCTACCCATGGACACTGAAATAGTTAACAAACTACTTTTGTTTGTCCTCTTCTACCCATGGACACTAAAATAGTTAACAAACTACTTAAGTCTGTCCTCTTCCATCCATGGACACTGAAATAGTTAACAAACTACTTTAGTCTGTCCTCTTCTATCCATGGACACTGAAACAGTTAACAAACTACTTTAGTCTGTCGTCTTCTACCCATGGACACTGAAATAGTTAACAAACTACTTTATTATGTCGTCTTCTACCCATGGACACTGAAATAGTTAACAAACTACTTTATTCTGTCCTCTTCTACCCATGGACACTGAAATAGTTAACAAATTAATTTAGTCTGTCCTTTTCCAGCCATGGACAAAGAAATAGTTAAAAAAACTAATTTAGTCTGTCCCTCTTCTACCCATGGAAAAAGAAGTAAACAAAAGAATTTAGTCTGTCCTCTTCTACCATGGACACAGAAATATTAAAAATAATTGAGTCTGTCCTTTTCTACCCAACTTCTTCTTCAGCATTCCAAATCTTTGAGGTTCACTGCTGCAGATATCACCCGCCTCCATTCACCCAGCTGGTGACACCAAGTGTTTGTAGGTCTGCCTGGATATTATATCTCCATCGTCTTCTTGGTTTGCCTCATGGTCTCTGACCATTCAGCTCCCTTGTGTATACAGTTTTAACCTCTCTGTCATCATTCTCTCAATATAGCCCAGCCATTTCTGTCGATTAGCCCTCATGTTGCCTTTCGTTGTAGCGTGGAGGAGTGTCAGCATATGAAGTGCAAACATGCTGTTAGAGGCCACAGGTTGTGGAGAGGCAAGATTGTCAGTGCCAGTCAACAAGGCACTTGATGATTATAATCATATATTCAGTTGGGAAATAAAAACAGTAGCATTTTTATTTAAACTACTTTATAAAGTCATGCCTAAAGGGAAATAAATTACAAACAAGCAATTTAAGCTGACATTATTATTTTTCCATGTTTAGTGTGTGTGTGTGTGTGTGCGAGCTCTAAAGAAGTAACAATATAAAACAAAACTAAAAATATAAAACAAAACTAAAAATATAAAACAAAACTCACTTGGCTTTTGGAATTTTCAGTTTGGCAACTTCTGTTCCACTTGGACACATCTTCCACTGTTCTGAGAGGTATTTAGGAACCTAGAATGCACAGTCCATTTAATGAAAGACTGTAGCAATACAATTTTCTATTAGTAGCACGATCCAACCATAACACATGAGAACCACACCTATTTTTTATTATGATTTTATTCAAGACATCATTTTTGAGCGATTTTAAAATGTGCATTAATCCAAAGAGAATGCTTTCCCATAACATTATCAATGCAAGGAATCGCAAAGCTGGTATCGAATGAAAACTGAATGCAGTACTTAAAAATTTTAATATAATTACTATGTTATGTTATCACAAAAAAACGTCTCTGCACATTAAGCATTTTCATGCATGCTCAGTCTTCCTATGCAGCAGCCACACCAGGGTACCTCTACTGATTTTTCCCATGAGAAGCTGGTTATAACGTCTCCTATCTCTGCCTCGAAGGCAGCACAGAAGTGCTTCACCATGCTTTACTCCTATGTCACGCAACTACTAGTGTCAGAGATTCATCATTATCCAATATACTAGTCCAGTATTGATATCTGCTCTGTCAATGTTTCTTCCTAAGTTAGTGCATTACTTGCTATTGGTTCCCCTGTTCACACCAACATGCTCAGGTGTATAGATCCCAGAATAAAACAGTCTTAGTAGTTACCTATTTTAAATAGAGCATGAATATTTAAAAGTCCTGACACAGCCTAAATGAGTAATTTAGATGCATTGAAAGAGGTAATAGTCAAAGACAGCTTAGGATAAATCTCAGAAAGAGGCACTTTCCTTGTTTTGGCTACATTATGAGAAAAAATCTAAAACATGCTGCAATGACTGGGAAGATTTGTGGAAGGAGAGGTAGAGGAAGACAACATGAGAAGACTTGACAGCTTTTTGTCATGACATGGAGGGGTGTCAGCACATTCAGTGATACATGCTGTGGAGGGGTATGATCACCCACACCAGTTAGTAAGGTACTTGATTTTATATACAGTGGTACCTCTGGTTCACAAACTTAATTCGTTCTTTGACTCAGTTCGTTAACCAAAATGTTTGTGAGCTAAAACAATTTTTCTCACTGAAATCAAGGCATATCCAATTAATCTTTTTTTTTTAAATGAATTTATGTGTGAAAAACATATATGACAGATGATAGTAAAAAATGAGGAGGATGAAGACTAACAATGAGTAACAACTGAATTCAAAGGATAATCTCAGTTCATAAAAAATGTCAGAATTTCTTGTTTTTTTCTCTCATCTGTATCCAGAGAAGTGGTTGATTGCTTCTACTTCTTCAACAACTGTTCTACTTTTAACACTTGAGACCTTTGCTTGGTTAACATAGTCCCTCCTTTAGCCAGCCACATTAGCTGTCTTTAAGGCAACTCTGTTCTTTAACTCTTTGAGTCCCAGGGGGTTTAGCATCAGAGGCCCAAGGGGTAGTCAAAAGAGATGTAGAATCGGCGCATCTTGCGTTCATTGGGCCTCTAGGCGGGAACCTATGAACGTATGATGCGTTCCTTGGGACTCAAAGAGTTAAGACAGTACAGATCATTGATTTAGCTATGTAATGATACTGTGTGGTGAGATCAGAAACATTATTCTCACATTTTGTTATTGTTTCATTCTTTGTTTATTCTATAATAGTACGATACACCCCTCTCACTAGTCTCACTAAGACTTTTCACTTTCTTGGAAGCCAAACAAATTCTATCAGGAACAACGCCACGACAGATATTGAGTTATTCACAGCACACAAACCTGAGTACAAAAGATGCTGTTTGCCAGCTGAAAACATGGCTGTTACATATTTATATAGCGTAATTAAATTTTATAAACTACAGTAAACAAAATCCAAGCTAAAACCAAGTGAAGATAGTGTGTTGCATACACATTACACATCTGACGACGTTGACCGAATACACTCATAAACTGCAACTTAACAAATTGAATTCTCACAATTCTTTTTTTTTTTTCTAAGTTTAGGTTTAGGGTTACCTTGACCAACCAAACTCCTCTGCCGGCTGCTGAAATGTCTACATCTTTTGGCTCGTGAGCCATCTCGATATCTGTGGGTAGGGACATGGTGGAGTTACGTACAACGGACAAGTTGTGTTAAATGTGTGAAGGCCCAAACACTTTCGTAAATTGACTTCGAGAAAACAAGTCGGAGATTTCCTGTAGCCAACTGCTTGTTACGACGGCAGAGTTACTCTTCTTGTCTTTCGAAGAAACTACACTTTATCACAAGAGAGTTAGGAAGTCTTAGGATTTTTTTTCTCCAGGTCCAGCGGGTGTGTTGAGAAACGAGTAGTCAAACAGACTGGTCGGTACTGCACCATTTGAAGGTGAATTGATGTAGGATAAACTAGATGTTGTGAGGGCCCTTTGGAAGCGAGTGATCAGGGGGATATGACCAACGCTCAAAAGTCAAAGAAAGACGAGACGGATATACAATCAGACAGTTACTAGTGCCATAGAAATGGGAACTCTTAGCTTGCTGCCGAAGATGGAGACGGAGCGCTTATGGGAGTGTCCTGAGTGCTGTGATGTCGATTTTTCATTCAAAATTTAGTAGTCTGCGAGCTTCTGCACATTCTAGACCCGCTACTTCTTCACCATCTTCTTTGTCTTTGTTCGTCCTCAAAAGAGCGGATGTAGTGTGGTTTAGAGTTTTGCTGTGACATCTACGTCTTTCGTTTCAACACATCAGATGTCACATCAGATCCCACTATAGAAAAACAAAGGCAGTAAAAGAGACGTACACAATACAAAGGCATCTCCCTTCTGAGTCAGACCGGAAAAATATTATGCAACTTTCTCGGAAAAAAGACTTCTTTTTTCTGTCTTCCTCCCATCCCACCCCCACCCCATGGAGCAAAGGCCGTAGTCAGCTGAACCAACTTCAGCCGGCCATGCATAGACCTTCAACCTATGAAGGTATCAAGTGGTAGAAGAGGAAGCCGGGGGGGGGGGGAGGGAGGACAAAAGGTTGTTGCTACTAATCTCGTGCTGAGATTTGATGCCTTATGTTAAGATCCCAATATCGTTTAAGAAGTCTTTTGCAGATCGTTGCTCCCATCACAGACCGCCGGGTAAATTCCTTATCATTCGAAGTTCTCTACCTCGTGAATGTTTATGCCCAGAGTCTCTCAACATGGTTTTCACCCATCCTCATTCTCCACCTTCTGACTAAATAAACTTCATGAGTTATTGACTTAGCTAAAACGGGAGATGAATAATTTATAGAAATGACAACATTGCAGATATAGGTAATATATTTCTAATAAAAGAAGAAAATTTATCTCAGCCATTTCAGTGACAGGTGTAAGACAGGGATGTGTCATGTCATCTCTTCTCTTCAACCTTGAGATTGATTGGATACTAAAAAACACAGTAGACAAGACATTGAAAGGCATACGATGGACTCCATTCGCCATGTTTGAGGACCTTGTTTTTGCAATTGATATAGCACTCCTATCACATAAACATGAAGATATACAAGAGAAAAGTAACAGACTACACAGCACAGCAGAAATGGTGGGACTGAGAATAAATACAAAGAAAACTAAGATCATGACAAACAGTCCAAACCAACAACCAGTGACCATAAATAACCAATCACTTAAAAATGAAGAACATTTTACACATTTTGGCAGTGTGGTGTCCCTACTGGGAGGGACAGAGGAAGACATACAGTCACGCCTGAACAAAGCTAGAGCTGCTATTGGAAGGATGAAGCAAATCTAACAGTTACTGCAGAGGAACGAAACTCCGACTCTACAAGAGCATCATTTTGCCAGTTCTTCTTTATGGAGCAAAATGCTGGAGAATGACCAAAAAGGATGTACACAAGCTGTCCACCTTCCACCACACATGTTTACGTAGAATTATCAAAATTTTCTGGCCAGATACAATCTCAAACACTTAACTACTTCCAGTCACAAACAAAAAAACTAGACAGTATGATAACCAAGAGAAGATGGAAATGGCTTGGCCACGGTATGAGAATGAATCCTGATATACCTGCCAAAACAACTCTCACAAGGATACCAGAGGGAAAGGGAAAAAAGGGGTGCCAAAAAAAACAAAACATGGAGACGAACGATGCAAAGTGACCTGAGTGTGCATCTTTGACATGGAAAACTGCATTGAAGATTGCACAGGACAGGAAAGCATGGAAAGTCCTCTCTGAAGCCTTATGTGCCACTAGGCATAACGAGAACTGATGATGATGATGATGATTTCAGTGCCAGAAAATTTCACAGCAGAAGGCAAAGTCAAGTAAAAGTAATGACGAAAATCTTTACTTTAAAAGAGGCATTACACACAGGGCTGGTACCTATCGGGAAAAACCAGGTTTTCTCTAAGCATGTTCCCAATCATTTAAGAGAACACATGCTTTAGAGAAATATAAATAAGTAACGTGATTCACTCATGTAGCAGTAATTTTTCAAAAATATCCTGTTCAACCCTCAGGGTTATAATTGGGATATATAGTGTTAATTGGTCGGCTCTGTGGTGAAGTCAATGCGAACGCTTCGTAATGCCGGGATGCCGGGTTTGATCCCAGCTCCGGGCCATGCGCCTTTCGTTGGTTTCGACAATGGTATCAAGAAATCCGACCACCCAGAAAGCAATAGCAAATACTGGACGTAAATTTGCCTAAAAAACCACACAACAGACAGGGGCTGTTGGGGTTGGTTCTGCAACCTCCTGTAAAGGATACGCAACTAACCTAGTGTTAATTGAGTTCTCAGAGTATATATTTGTAATTTTAATTTTGTATATCTTGTAATTATTTATATGGCTAAAATGTAATTTGTATTGTTTCACATTTTGCTTTGATTTGGGATGTGATTATGACAGCAATTGCAACTATGAAATATTAGACAATTTTACTAACATTATGTCATTAACGTGGTGGATATATTGTTTCCATAGTGTGCAATCATTGATTATTCTCCTCTATGTTTTTTTTAATGAGAATACCATGGGCATCCTTTACACTTCTATATATGGATTTTAATCCTAGTAATAAGCTGCTTGCCCTTGCCATGGAACTCTCTAGGGCTGTTTATGTGCAGCAAGTTTTCCATTAGTCAGTTAATGGTTTACTTTGGTTTTCATATTTCATTCACTCATCAGGCTTTGTTTAGGATTGCAAGAGTTAAAAATGTATGTTCCGCTATCTAGTCCATTATTACCATTACCATAATATTAGCAGTACAATATCACAATGTCAGATTTAAAATACAAGTAGTTAGTGGTTGTTATCGTTCCGCAGTCTGGTTATTTCTGATGACAGATCGTCTCGAGTGACTACCTGCTGAAACAAATGTAGATAAATGTCTTTTGTGGTAGGATTTGTCTCCACCTTCACGGCTCAGTGCAGTTGACTTGAGTTCTTCTTCTTCTTCTTGTTCTTCTTCTTCTTCTTCTTCTTCTTCTTCTTCTTCTTCTTCTTCTTCTTCTTCTTCTTCTTCTTCTTCTTCTTCTTCTTCTTCTTCTTCTTCGCGGTCACCAGCTGTAGACTCCGGTGGAAAGTTCTGGTTGTTCGTCCATGTCTAGACTCCAGTCCTGTTCCGGCATCTGTATTACAGATCTGACTTATCTGTATGCAGACAGTGTGTGTGTGTGTGTGTGTGTGTGTGTGTGTGTACAATCTTGCTAATTTGTATGCAGACTGTTGGTTCCTCGCATCTCAGGCAGATGCACTCCGACTTTAAAGGAAGCTCCCAGTTAGCCAACACTTACGATATTCTTATTGGGGAGGCAATGGGTCTATTCTTGTTTTCCCCACAAGGAATGGAACTCCGGAACCAACACAAGAGTCACGTTATATAATTTACAGTTTTATTGAAGTAAAGTGACCAAAATGCATACTATTTTTGTACACTTTAAAGCGGTTAACCTATTTGTGTCAGCGGGTTTATCAGCATATTGCTTTTTGACTCCATTACAATATTTATGGCTTACTTCTGGCGATCACATCCTACTGTCCTTATTTTGAGATACTTTGAGCTAAGCTATCTGCTGTGTTTCAATTTTCAAAATAATGTTTTACGTTGTACTTTAGTTTGGTTAAATAATTTCAGTTTTCTATTGTGTGTGTGTGTGTGTGTGTGTGTGCACCTGGGTGTAATTAGAGGGTCTGGCTGACTCACTACACTCAGAGGAAAGGCAAGACGGACATATAACCAAATTATAACAGGTTTCACCATCATTTTAAATCAGCGCTGGCTGCTGAAGATAAGGACGGAGCATGCAAGGGTGTGATGTCAATTCTTAACTCAACTTAACAGTTTTCTGTTTGATGTCTTCTCCTTGGGTTTATGCATGCGTCTGTGCGCGTGCTTGTACTTCCGCGTTGTGTGTACTAACATTGGTATGAACAATTGGTTTGTAAACGGAATAACAACATGACACACCTGTAGTAACCCATAAGTTCTCCGTTCTACTTCTAACTCAAGTCTGAGTCCAAAGATTCTCAGCGCAGTGCAGGAGCTCCGTAACACCGGCGAGGATCCTGAAATACTTCGGGTAGATTTCTAATTCCAAATTTTGCCCGAGCAGCGCCATTAGGTTACTCTTTTCTATTTCCAACCGCCAATGAATTTTTTTTTTAACATGCGCAGTAACATACACGGGCGTCCGATCTTACTACCCAGAGACCAGGGAGCATTACTAGAAGTCCACGCGAAAATACCCCGACCTGACCCCGGGACTCCAGCACTCGAGGCGGATGTCATATATATATGTTGTTCGTCCATTCCAAGTGATGTAGACCAGTTTCATCCGAAGTAGTAATTATCAATTATTATGAGTACGAAGGTGGCTGATTAGTCCAATATGAGCCAGAACAGTTGTTGAGCAGTGCAGACAACAGATGGAAGCCGCAGTAATTGTGGGATTAGCAGTACGATTCTTTCTAGTCCGCCTGGAGTTTTTATGCCTGTACAACCTCCGCTACATGGCAGGCTGAAGCACCATGCATGAAGGACGTGTGCCCTCCAGAACGGTCTTGTGCAGCAGCCTTTCATGTCGCTGTGTTGATGCCAAAAGAATTGAGAGCAGTCTTCAGA